CCCCGTACCTTATGAAAAATATCATGTTCAAGTTTTTACTGATCAAAATCTGTATAGGCCCTGTCAAGGCACTGCAATGAGACAGAAATCGTATCATTGGTCATGTATTTAAAAAAAATATTATAGGCCTATGATGTTTTGAAAGTTCGATCGAGGTTTCATAATAAGAAGAGGTGAATGAACTATATTTTCCTTGTTTGCCAGCAAGCTATGATAAATTGATTGATTGATTTTTATTCGACAAGCTTCCAACATACAACAATATACAATAATAACAGATCAAAAAAAGTCAGCTTGAACAGGATAACCCACGAAAGCTCGAGAGCTTATTTCCAGTGGGGTCCCTTACAGACATGTATAAAATTAATAAGTTAAAATAGTAATATTTACAGACAGATAAGAAAATTAAAAGAACTACTTATTAAAGATAATAATAACAACATTTAAACTGATGATAGAAATGATATTAAATACAAGAAGAAAAAGAAGAAGGAGAAGAAGAAAAAGAGGAGAAGGAAGAAGAGGAAAATAATGATGAATTTGTAGAAATTCTATAACGTACGAAAACATAAGTATATACAACATGAAAAAGTATGAACCGACAGAAGAATAAAAATTTCAATCATATAACATGTCATTCACTTCTCTTCTCTGACTGTCAAGTATTAGGTATTCCTTTAATTTCCTCTTAAAATGATCATAGTTTCCTATTTCTTTTACACCATTGGGAAGGGAATTCCAATGTTTTATGGCATTGTAATAAAACGAATTTCCAATACTACCTACTCTTTCAGGTAAGTTAAAGTTGAATCGTCTATTTCTTGTATTATAATCATGTACGTCAGTAACAAGATCGAAGTTGGATCGAATATAATGATTCGACCTAGTATGGTATATTTTATGCACATGATGCAATACGAGTTGTTTTGATCTTTGGTCGACTTCAAGAAAACCAGCTTTAGAAAGTTCGCTGTAGCCAACATGAGTTCTTGGACCAGAACAGTTGATAAATCTCACCATTTTGTTCTGTATAATCTTCAACTTCTTTTGATCTGACTTGTTTATGTTACTATACCATGCAGGGTTAGCATAGTCAAATAAACATTGAATAAGAGCAAAACAGAGTGTACGTCTTGCTTTTAAATCCATACAACTTTGATATCTGTACACAAATTTCAGACGAGAATTTGCTTTTTTTACAACTGATTCTACTAAAGATGAAAATGAAATTGCGCTAGCCAACTCAATGCCTAAATACTTCACAGACTCTTTTCTCTTGATTGCTTGATTATTGTGTGTCACTTTGAATTCAAATGACTTTTTAGAACTACTTTTAGAACAAAATAAAATGCTTTCTGTTTTTCCCAAGTGTAAAGAAAGCTTATTATCAGTCATCCAATCGACACACGTAGACAGCTGTTCACTGAGCTTTTCCTCAATATATTTAGGATCAGGATTTGAATAGAGTAGTACGCTGTCATCTGCGTACAATAATAGTTTGAAGTCTTTTATACAAATACACATATCATTTATATAACTTGAAAATAGAATTGGGCCTAAAATGCTTCCCTGAGGAACACCGCAAGTTATAGGCATTAGTTTGGAACGAATATCATGAATGGCCACTACTTGGTGCCGATTAGATAAGTAGGATCTAAACCAATCTAAACTTGCCTTATCAAAACCCATTAGTTGTAACTTCTTCAATAAGACGCAACTGTATCAAAAGCTTTTTGCAGATCAAGGAGCACCATACCAACAAAGCGCCCTTGGGAAGTTTCTCTCCTCAAATAATCAGTCAAATGAATTAGACATGTTTCAGTCGAATAATCATGTCGAAAACCAGATTGAAATTCATAAATTATATCATTTTCTTTGAAGTATCTTTCAATTTGAACACAGACCGATTTTTCTAGAATCTTTGATGCTACGCTTAAAACACTAATAGGTCTATAGTTGCTAACATCAGTTTTATCTTTCTTTTTATAAAGTGGAGTCACTTTTGCTATTTTCATATCCTCTGGAAAAGTACTCGTCAAGATAGATAGGTTCATTAAGTAACTTAGAGGCTTAAATAAAACCTTCGCACCATCTTTTAGAAATTTAGCTGGAATCAAGTCTAACCCAGTACTTTTTGATACATTCAACTTACGTAACTCTTTGAAAACAAATTGTTCACTGATTGGTAATAACTCGAAGCTGTTTTCACGTACACCTTTTCTTTCGTAAAAGTCACGAATACAATCATTGTCTGCGCTGAAAAAGTCTTTGGAAGGGGGGAGTTTGTCTACTAATTTGGCAGCCACATTTGTGAAATGAGAATTGAATTCATCAGCGATGGCCATCTTATCATGACATAATTCCCCATCAATTTTAATGACAGATTCTTGTTCTTTTCGCTTCTTATTTTTCAATCCTAAGCTTTTTAGATTCTGCCAAAGTTTTTTCGAATCTTGTTTATTTTCTTCTATCTTGTTTTGTAAGTAAACGAGTTTAGCCCTTTTCACCTCTCTTTGGACCATATTTCTTAATACTCTGTATCTTTTATAGAGCTTCTCATCTTTTGCTCTTTTCCTCCATTTTTTGTATACTATGTTTCTCTCTTGAATTAGGGAAAGAATATCTTTAGTCACCCAAGTTTCTGATCTTTGTTTTATTCTTATCCGTTTCAGTGGCGCTATCATATTCAAATTTGAGATAAAAACATGTTGAAATATTGACCATGCCTCATTTACATCTGTACAGTCAGTTATTCGTGACCAATCAACAACAGATAGTTGAAGATTGAAAGACTCTTCTGTATATTTTTTCATGGATCTGATATCATTAGTCCTGTGATGACCTATAGCCAGTCTAACATTTTTCCGTGTACAGAAAGTAAAATAATGGTCGCTAATACCTAGATCAATGACACCACTTTGACTTATTTTATTTTCTTTGGTACAACCAATATGATCCAATAGAGAAGAACATGTAGGTGTAACGCGTGTTGCCTCTTTAATGAGTTGACTAAACCCATGAAGACTCAACAAGTCAATATATTTTTTAGCCAGTGGCGATTTGCGAAGAAGACAAATATTCATGTCTCCTAAAAGAATTATTTCGTCATCCTTTTTTAATGTATCAAGAATATTGGACAATTTCTCGATAAACAAATTGTTTTTCGGAGGTCGATACAGAACGCCAACAACAATTGGTTTTGATCTTGGTATAAGCAAATTTATCCACAGGGATTCCGTATCTCCAGTACTTATAGCATCCATAATATTAAATGCAATATCATTTTTGATATAGAAACATACACCACCTCCAGAGCCAGAGGATCGATCATGGCGTATGATTTTATATCCGTCTATTTCAATTTCTTCATCATTTATGGAATTGTTTAACCATGTTTCAGTGAAAGCAATAATAGACAGCCTTTTTCTTTTAAAAAGAATTCTAAGTTCCGATATCTTGTTTAGAATAGACCTCACATTGAGGTGTAAAAAATGAAGACCTTTAATTTTAAACTTTTCTTCAAATTCTTGAAAAAGAGAAGTGTTTTCATCTTTGAGGTTTGGCTGAATTATTCTTGCTATCGCTTGCTTTTCAGGTGTAACGCGCGTTACCTTAAAATAGTTTTCTTTTTAGTCTATCCTCGTTTTGGCTTTCTTTCTCTAAACAATCGTCAGTAAATATTGATTCACAAAAAGATGGCAGACAACATGTTAAACAATTCCACTTCTCATCAGGGCATTCATAATATAACCTGCGGTACTCTGAAAAACTGATAGCTTGAAAATTAGTGTGAAACCATTTTTTACAATAAGAACACAGAAGGCCGTGTTGATTACATTTGACTGGCTTATCACAGTTCCCACAAGGGAACTTATATTTTCGACCGTCAACTATAATTTTCGGATCATCACTAGATTTTGTCAAACTTTCACTTAATTCAATACCCTTCTTACAAATTGAAGATAATTCGCCCAGTCTTTCATGTCCACCTTGGATGGTCTGAAGGCTGGTTTCAGTCGTGACCTCTGTTTGACTGCACTGAAATCCAAAGATCTCCCAGAAACAGCTTCGGCGTAGGACTTTACGGGGCTGCTTTTTTCCTCATCAGAAAGAAACTACTGCATATTTCCCAGCAAGAAATCGGGCCATATATTCACCAAAAAACAAAATAAAGAAATAAAAAACAAAGAACAAAACAAAACAGAACAACAATAATGTTTAAAACAAAACACAAAACAAGTCAATAACAGAAACAAAACAGAAATCAAAGTCAAAATCAAAATAAATCTCAAACTAAAATAATAAAATTAAAAAACAGCCCTGAAACATCTCCTATATAGCTGTAGGCTGTGGAGATATAGGCCTAATAATTTGAAAGTGAAGAAAAGTCAAAAGCTTAAAATCTGAACAAACATCCTCGGCTGAGCGTGATGACCGAAATTTATCTGAACAATGTACCGATGAATTAGTTATTATGAAGATGATGATGATGATGATGATGATGATGATGATGATGATGATGATGATGATGATGATGATGATGATGATGATAATTATGATGGTGATTATGGTAATGGTGATGGTAATGATGGTGGTGGTGGTGCTGCTGCCTCTGTTGATGAAAAGGGAAATTAAAAACAAAAGAAGGAAAATGTATCGTTATTACATAAGTAGAATTCACCATCTGAAAAAAACATGGAAACTTGGTATTCCCCAATCAGAACAAACGGAACTGGTAAAGATTTGGCAATCCGATTAGTCTTTATTGCGCAACTTTGTATGCATTTATTTTAATAACATTGACTAATTTAGGTGTTTATTGCTTAAATACAAGATCATACTATTTTGTTAAGGAGTCAATTTCCTTTCATTAAATAGAATGTTAATTACATGCACTTTATTTTAGAATAAAACAATTTATGACAGAAGTATTTTGTTTGAAAGCCCATTTACAGACTAAAAACAAAGGTCAGAGGGCATGTTTCGTCATATGTTATTTCCACAACAATACATAGACTTTCAAGGCGACGGATAGGTGTCTCTAACTAGATCTATATTCTGCTTTACAAATATGAAGTGACTGACAAGTTATATCTATGTATCTTAGCTGCAGATACGTTCTCAAGTTTGTGGTGCAATTTCAGGTATACATTTGAATAGTTTAGTTATGCATTTTTCTAAAGAGAATGAAAATTAGATCCTGTGCAGCTGTGCTGTGTCATTTGTGGCTTCCGTGCATGTTGTTATTGCGTGTGAATGATTGACATTTTACAGTCCAGTGGCCAGTGCTGTGCATTGCATTGAAACCTTCGATAAATACGTGTGCACCCGTGATGAAGTTTATGAATGTGAGAATGACGTTGATGTTTTTCATGCAATGTGCCTGAGCTTATACTTTGAAAGGCTTTGAAACTTTAACATTCCATCAGTTTGTAAATAACTTTGTTTGAATTTGAAAATGGATCTAGGTCTAGATCTATGATACTGATATTGATAGACCCCGATTTTTTATTCCAACCTTTTATTTTTTGCAAATATAGACTACTCAATTAACATCGAGTCCTAAGTTAAATAACTTCAGTTGACAATATTTTTTTAATAGACACTGACTGAGACAGAGAGTAGCTGCGTGTAGACGAGTTATACAGTAAACAGCAATCTTAGCTATCAATGATTTGTAAGTCCTTGTTAAAAAAATTCAGCGCTAGTTCAGAAGCCTATCCAAAATTTGACCCGTAACTCCGGCGTGGAGATACCCCACTTAAACATACCCAAAATGAAGTGAATATTCATCAGATGTTTAAATAAAGATTATGAGTTAAAAGTCGTTATGTTAATTACCTGTTTCGTGTCAATTTTCTTGGTATTTTTTGAGTATTTTTCGGAAAAACATTGATATTAGTATACACTTTTTCACAGGTTTCACAGCAAACCGCTGCACAATTACAATTGCATACCGATGGTGGGTTGCGGGCGGGCGCGGGCGCATGCCTGTGTGAAGTTATCTACAGTAATGTCTCGTACCCTTTTCTAACAGCACTGATTTTCATCGGATGCATCCGGACGCATCCGATGAAACGGCCAGTATGAAAGCAACAGAGGAGAAAAAGGCGATTAAATAGCCTATGAAAAGAAGAGAACTAGGCGATTAAATTCTCATTCTATCGGTGTGACACCGATGAAACGGCCAGTATGAAAGCGTTCAGGAGAAAAAGGTGATTAAAACAGCAATTAAAATGGTCAAAGGTCGCAATGTACGCGCGCTTTTTTCGTAACCAGCTTTGTTTGTTGACTTATGGTTGAACATGCTGCATGCTAGCTAGATGGAGCGCAGGCTTAATAATTACGCAATAATTCTTCACTTCCGGCATGGGCTCGCCACATTGAGCAAATTTCATCGGCAGTTAGAAAGCGACGAAGAAAACTGCAGTTTCACCTTTGTTTACATAAGGAAAATTCAATCGGTATTTTCATCGGTTTGACTCCGATAGAAGCCAGTTTGAAAGCAGTATCAGATCCTCATTATGTAGTAGATAACTTCACACAGGCAAAACCGTGGAAAATATGCAAGATAAAGGCACAAGACTGATTGTTAAACTTAAAATATCATTTACTTGTAAATTTATATATTTTATTTTCATGGTTTTGGATCTACAGTTGTAAATGTATTGATCTGCTCATAGTGACAACTACAATTTAAAAATAATTATACCATTATTCAGAGACTGAATTAGACCCTCTGGTATCATCTATTGTAAAAATAACTTAATTAGCAATTTTATGATATGAACACAGTACTATGAGGAGTCAGATACTACATGTACATATTTTTCACATATTCTAAAATGCACTTAGGTATTCAATTCTTGCATTTTTTGTTCCTGGCATAACATTAATATTTTTTCTCTATTCCTACAGGAAAACAACTAGAATCAATAGAGGAAACTATCTAATATAAACCAAAATGGCAGAGTTGAGAGATACTGATACAAGCCCCGTCATTCAGAGTGGGGTTGAGACTGATATTAGCCCCGTCATTGAGAGTGGGCCCTCAACCCATCTGGATGACTTTGAAGAAATCAGCACCAATGTGTCAGAGTTTGCCCAGGTCATCTTCAACAATGTACAGGAGTGCTATGTACCAGGTGAGTCCTTTTAGTATGGCTGAGTGAAACATGTCCTGATGTCAGGTTGTTTTAGATGTGAATCCAAACAAAATAAGAAGCTTCAAGAAAGTCTGAGGACATTTTTGCAAAAACTTCTGGATTCACAAATTCTCTATGATCATAAAAAAAATCTCAACTCCATTGGTATCGCGTATTTGTATCCAAGCAATTAAAGCTACTCTTTATTTCTTATCACTCACAAACTCGGCGGCGTTATCTAACCGGAAGGGTTATCCCTTCAAAGCATTTTAATATCACATTTGTTATTGTATTGATACTTGATAGTCTAAAAGCTTGTCCCAAAATAGTCCCCCTATTTCACCCCTTAAGATTTGACTAACAGCGTGTCCACACACAAAACAATTTATCCCGAAACTCCATAACAAAACGTATAAAGAATCATAGTATAAATTTCAAAGTGTCCACACACAAGAAACGTCATATAAATAATCATCGTATAAATTCAAGGATGTCCATAAACAGAAGAAAGTAATCCTGAAACTCTACAGTCTGGTCTCCTTTCGCTCGAGGTCACGTTAAGCCCCGCCCAGTTAGTTACACTAGTTACACTCCCCCTGTCCACACACAACATTTTCTGTGATTAGGCGTGATTAGGCGTGATTCTTTATTGAGTTTCAGTTTGAAACGATGCCCAAACCTGCGTTTCGTTAGACTAGTTTCGTTATACGACGTATCGTTAGTGAGCGTCCACACACACAATTTCATTGTAAAACTATCGCGAAACGGTATAGCTAATCACGGAAAATGTTGTGTGTGGACAGGGGGTAAGTGTGACTTAACCATGGGTTGTCAGACACCCCCTGAAATAGGGGCAATTTTTTTCTTCCCCTGTAAGCCCTGTGACCAAATTTTTTCATGAGAAAGAGGTATGGATGTACTTTAATTACCAAAACTATAAAAGCTGACACAATTTTCTAAATGATGGTACCTGGGTATCATATTGTATTGCTTTGCTGGCCCCAAAATGCTCGGGATGTAAAGAAGGAATATTTCTCACATTCCAACCGTAATAAATCAAAGTGTTTCATTCACTTCACTTCAGTTCACATTTACATGGTACAATCTTCAGTTTTGGGGGTGTAACTTTGTGTTAATGATCATTCCATTGATACGATACCAATATTGAAGTGTATTGCTTCTTCCTCATGAGTAACCCCCCTAAATTAAAAATATCACAACAAAATGGACACACATAGAGCACTATTTGAACCATACCTCTTTAGATTGAAATATCTCTGGCAGGATTTACAGTAATCTACATCAAGGATATTAGTCATTGTATTGCACAATCCAGTAAGCAGTTCTACTCAGTCTTTGCCAGAAAAATAATATTGCAGATTGTAGTTCGTCTGTATTCTGTAATACAATGTACATTATATTAATGTTCTCTTCATGTGGATCATTATTTATAAGTAGTTCAGTACATTGTAAATGGCGTCTGCATCATGTATTTTTATGTTCCTGTGTTTTGTATTGATGGCAATGTCCAATTACACAAGCTGTTTTGCAAATTATACACATTAACATGCATGGATTAATATTGGCAACATCATATTGTACTAGACAGCGTTAGTTTTACAATCTTCAAATGTAAATACTTTTAGATGACACTGATTCAAAGGTTCATGTTTATTGGATAATTCCACATAATTGTACAGGGTGTTTTAGTAAAGAGATAACTTCAATTAATTATTGATTTCTATCTTTGAATGTAACTTTAACCCCCCAAAAATTGAAAACATGTGCTCCCATGTTTGGTCAGAATGTTTAAACAGATAATTAATAGAAATCTGTGATATCTTAAGTTATGGTAAGTTGCTGTATTACACTTACATTAATTTTTCATATACCTGCTACTCCAAAGGTAGTGTCACAGACTATGCGTTTGTCTGTAATTCTCTCATAACATTTATTTCAAGACTGGATAAAACAAAGAAATGATAAGTATTAAGAAATAGTTTGCTCAGTTTAAAATAAAAGGATTTCCCAAAATCAGAAAGTCCCAGATTCAAGCTTTGCCCTTGTGTATGGCAGACATTGAATCCAGTAACGTACAGTTTGTACATGTACAGTACAAGTAGTAGGAGACAATGAGCAAGAAATGGCATCTGTGTACAGTGGAGGCTTCGTAGTTGTATATCAACCGTTTCTTCTCAATGGCAACGGCCTGTTGGGGAATCCCAGATAATTGTACAGGGTGTTTCAGTAAACGGATAACTTTGAATGACTATTGACATTTACAGTATCTTTGAATCAGTGTCATCTGAAAGAGAAAACTTCACAGCTTTTCAATAGTATCTTGATAAATATGACCGAACAAGAAAAGCAGTTGGTTCTGTTTTATGCAAAACATACAGTGTAATAGGCAAGGCTTTGAATAGGCTTTTCAGTCAATGCTGATTTCCATGTACATGTATATTAATTCTTTATAGTGTGGTTATATTTGTATGCTCAACATTTGGTAATAACTTTAGGTCTTAACACAGTGCTTTGATATATGTGTTCGGGCGACAATAGCTCTGGTCTCCAGGATTGATTTTATCTAACATTATGTTGCAAATTTTTGGTTTTAGGCTAGGATTTGAGTTAGTGTTAAATAGGATTAGGTGAACTGTGCAATCCACCAGAGAGGAAGTTTTTGCTGTAGCATGTGTCATGCAGTCCTGAACACTTTCAATTCATACATGTTTATGTCGGAGAAGTCACTGAGGCTAGAGATGGATTCATTGAAACATCCTATTTTCTTCTTCATTTTCTTCCCCTATTTTCTTCACCTATTTTCTTCACCTATTTTCTTCACCAGGGACCGATCTACAGTGCAACTATACCCTGACTTCGGCCATCAGGCCCCAGTCACGTGACTGGATCGGAGTCTTCAAAGTAGGCTGGACATCCACCCGTCAGTATCGAGCATTTGAGTGGGCCCCCACCCCCACCCAGCTGACTGATAGCGACGAATGGACCCAGGATATCACGTTCAAAGGTAGGAATAAGATCCTCAGATTTTAAAGAATATTTCTCCTAAGATGATCAAACCTTTGGAGTCTGATAGTTAAAATTAATCAGACACTAGAATTTTAGGGTGAAGGTTATGCAGTCTTTGTAAAAAGTCAAAGGGGTTCAGAAACAGATTCCTGCCATTTTCAAGTAATTAGATACACTTATATACATGAACTTCAACCAATCTTTACAAAATCTAGAATGCCTCCCTTTTTAATGATACACATTTTGTATGTTGAATTTAGGAATTTATCAATTTTAATTATTTCTTTCAAAGAAGGATAACTTCAATTTGATTCTGGGCTAGTATATTTCAGAAGACTAATTTAAATAGAACTTTAAATGTAAACATGTATGCTTTCTTACATTTGAATGGATATTAAGTAAAGTTAAGTAGTACCTGACATCAGGGAATAATGAACATTTGATTTGCTTTTGTAAATCAGAAGTACATGTATGTCAGTTGATATTTGTTTACAAATTTTATCTAGATGTACAAAGTAAATGCGCATCTTGGGATTGTATACAATACATTTACAGGTACATGATTTTTTTGTAATTGGTATTATATTTCATTACAAGAAAAGAGTGCATAATTTCAGACTAGATTCTTTTTAGATATATCTACATGTACTACTTCCCTATATGAAACTTTTTTAGCCCATTAATAAATCATTTTTAATGTTCCCATATTCTTCCATACCTGAACTTTATTACCAAACACTGCAATACAAAGTTCACTACAAGATATGAAATCAGTTGTTTGTAATACGAAGCAGAGTATTTTACTATGACATGATTCTGTTACTATTGTATTTATTGAAAGCAAAAAGTTTGGTTCAAAGTTCAGCCAAAGTCTGAAATGTTCTCATTGTTCGCATGTCCTTCACTGTTATTGATGAGGAAGTAGTGTTTAACCGCCCTAATCCAAACTGAGGATTGAGATTCGTAACATGACTCGTTTAATGAGCAGTAGCTTAAATCATTGCCAACAAGAGCATGTAGTAGCTAGACCAATGGAAGATAACTTGATAGCAGGGGGATTGAGTTTATATAGGTCAAATACCCCATGCCCAAAATGATTGTGACACTTTTTGAGGAAACCTTGTTTTAAATGCAACCATGAGCATGTACATGTATGGGAAAATATAAAAGAGAATCTGATAGTTCAAGAATTGAGCTACTACAGTGAAGACTATTCATGAACATGAACATTGCCCATGTATGTATATGTTGCATGTTTTGAACATTCTAAACCAAGAGGGAAACCACACAATTGATGCCTCAATCTAGATAGAGGATTAATCACTTTTAAATGGGATTCACTTTCAAAACCCTATCATACATACATGTACATGTACATGCATTCATGTTGCGTGCTCCTTACTGTAGCATGCTTCTCACCTGGTACACTTGTACATGTATATGGTACTATTTTTTTTTAATCGGACGTTACATCTACTTCTGTAAACAAGTTAGACCCTCATTTAACCCACTAGAGCAATAAAGTATTTCATATGATTTGAATACACTTATTAGTTACTCCTAGATTATATGAAAAGAAGATATCATTAGATTATAGTAGTGCCTACATTAGAAATATACCAGGTACTCAAAAAATTGTAGCTGTCCATCTACAGAATTTTATTTTCTTCCAAAAAATGATGTTTCCCACAGAATTGAGTTTTATTTGATTTGAAAGCAATAAATAATCATAACTATCACCGCTGCATGCGCACAATTTTTGGTGTGGGGAAAATTACCGTTATGGGACCCGGTACCGCTCCAAAATTTTCAAGTCAAACCTGGGTTGGCAAAACCCGTAATGACTCAGGCCTAGTGAAAACTGATAATACATGTATTAACCAATATTTTAACTTACCAATTGTTTGACCTCCTCGTTTCCACAACTTTCAGGAACGTTTTGATCCAAACAAGAAATTATATTACATTTGTTTAAATCTCCTTTCCTCATGAAAAACCATATCAATACATTATAATGCAGGTACATTAACATTTATTAATTTTAAAAAAGGTAAATGTATAGAAATATACAACATTTCCTGTGGTTGCAATTGAACATCTGAAATTAATTTTTGAGTGACCTTTGACCTCTTCATGCAGCATACTATCTACCCAAGGATGAAGACGGTGAGTACTACCAGCTGTGCTACATTGATTCCGCTGGTAAGATGCGGGGAGCCAGCACCCCCTTCCAGTTCCTGGAGCAGTCAGCTGAAGACTTTGTCCAGGTGCTTGATGATTCCATGGATATCCTCATGATACACAACAAGGTACATACCAAACCTGTTTCAGGAACTACCTGTCTGAAGGGACCACCCCCCCCCCCCCCTCCCCCTCCACCTGCCCCTTTATGCACTTTTTCCCAATCCTTTATAAATGTGTGCTGACTTTTGCTACAGGCTTTATATTGTGATAGGCTAATCATTGTGGTTGCATTTGGGTTTATAGTAGGTTTATGGTTAGGATTAGGAGGGTTAGATAATATTTGTTCCACTTATTATTTTTGATTCCTAAAGCAGTGATTGAGAAGAAAAAAATGTGTGTAGAAATTAGATGTAAATCACATTTTTTGTTTCTATGATTAGTCAGATTTGACTCAGCAGAGGACTCTGTAATCATCCTAAAAGTGTCATTAAAATGATTTAATTGAGTAGTTAGTGTATATCTTCTGGAGGCTCAGAAAATATGTATGTAGAAGACTAAACTGTTCATAAACATCCCTCATAAATTATTGGCTTGGATTTGATTTTCTGTGCAAGAAACTGATGTGGATTTGAAGTTGAAAAACAATCAAGATTTATTGAGAATAATATACATGTGTGCAGATGTTTCAAGCCTATGACTCTCTCTCTCTCTTGCACTTTCAGAGTGAATATTGTGTGGGGGAGCTGAAACGAGTCCAGGAGGAGAAGCTTGAGATTGAAGAGGAGTGCAAGTCACTCAAAGAGAAGGTGATCGCCATGGAAACAGAGCTCCAGGAAGCCAAGGACCAACTGGACAGCATCACACAGGAATATGAGGTAAGGAGACTGGGCTAGCAGAAGATAGCAAAAACTTTTGTTTTTACTGTGACATTGATAACATTTATGATAGGAGTTGAGAGACACATTATAATAATAATAATAATAATGGCTACTTGTATAGCGCACAAGTGAAGGGCACTGTTTCTGTATGGAAAATACATTTTGGAAAATCAGCTTGAAAGGTTATAACAATCAGTATTATCTGGTTGAAAAAATATTTGGTATATGTTTGAAATAACTCCTTTACTTACCATCATATCTCTAAATTTACAGTTTATGTTTAAATCAGTGTTAATCTTTCCCCAGTATTGATCATTTTTCTATTTTTTCTATTTTTGTTTGTTTCTACATTCTTGCATAAATTTATTAACATGTAAGAACCTTTACTACCTATATATAAAAACTTTCAATCAAATCTATGAAGCAATTCCCCCCAAAACCAACCGCTGTTTATTAAAAAATTCCCAGTCTCGCACTCTTGGCAACAAGTCGATGGAGGAGAAGCTGGAGAGCATGACCTGTGAGCTGGCTGAAGCAAGAGAGAGGGTAGCAAATCTTTCTGAGGAAGCAGGAAATTACGAGAGCTCCCTCCAGCAGACAGAGGGCGCTTTCATGGAGGTCGTCAACCGAGAGCTTGCCCTTCGAAACAAGCTGGATGAGCTGGAGAAGCGATACACTCAAGTCGTGTCAGATAGGACTAGTCTAAAGGTAGGTGTTTTCATTTGGGTTGTTTCCATTTATAACAATTTCCAAAATGTAATAGGAAGCATTAAAAAGACTAAGAAATCATCATTCTGAAAACATGGAAACCTCATTGGCTAGGGTTTGATTTGATTTGATTTGATTTGATTTGATTTGATTTGAAAAGGTATTTATTAAAAACCACATGGCAGCTCAACAGTTAAATTGAGTGGAATTTATATCATAACAAATTCAAATAAATGCAATACAAAGTAAATATGATACAATTTGACATTAAAGGCCCACTGCACTATCTGTAGCTACTTGCGCCCTCTATAATAACAAACAATGCCTAATCGGTGACCATTGGTCCCCCATGATCCTCTCTTTCTTATGTTAACTGAGAGCTGAGTTGATGAGATAACCACCTGTCCAATGACCTTGCAGGGCAGTCTAATCCCTCCTATAAACTACGGCAGATAAGCTTTAAGACTTATACATAATTAAAGAAAAGTACATTGTAGCTATACCGTGTAAATCATGATAAAATAGGGTGAAAGTAAACTTCATACAGATCAAGCGAAGACCTGCTGTTTTAAGAAATTAAACAAAAATTAGGTATAAAGTACTACTTAGTATAAAGAGGGAGTTGGTTCCGTGAATTATAATCATGTGACAATTGGACGAAAATGGTCTGTAATTCTGTTCATTCTTTTTGATATAGACAAAAAGTTTTCAAAAAGAAACCTGATGACAATACAAAACAGAATGGGATAAGTTAATTGAGATGATAATCAGGGATGATAATAATTTTCATGTATGAATTGCATATGACTCAACTTAAGTTACCTAAATGTGAAATTTCAAAGGGGTTACTATTCAAACTGTACATGCCTGTGATTGTTATGTGTAGACCCAGTTGGAATCGACAAATAAGAACAACACGGAGATGTGCGAGGAGATTGATAACCTAAAGCAGCTGTTGTCCCATAGCAATGAGACTCACCAGGAGGTGAGAGAGAGTGAGGTCCGCGTGAAGGAACAGTACCTCAAGATGCAGCAGGACCTACAGCAAGCCAGCGTGGAGAAGGTTAGTAGAAGGTCAAATAGAGGTCAAGTAGAGGTCATCCGCATAGACAAACTTGAAATATAGATTAATAGCCAGATCTTCTTTAAAGTATATATGCAGTGGAAGATATATGGAGTTCTAAAAGGGATAATTGAAATTGAATGAGAATGCCATTTGTTAATACATGTGGATGGTTATAAGTGATTGTCAGAAAGGTACACAAATTATGGTGTGAATATCCAAGAGTGTTTAAATGTCAAATGTTGAATGTTGAATGTAATCACAATAATTCTGAATACAGTGAAGTTAGAATGAAAGTGGTATATGTAAGTTCAGATTAGTGGAACTGTTACAATATTGCAACTACATGTATTTCATAATCATTATACAGCTTGAGCCCACTAATACTGGTAGCTGAGGCAGTATTTGTGTATTTCACTGGAAAAAGTATCTAGACTTCTATTAAAGAACTAGCATTTAGTACATTCCTGCATTCAGTTATCATATTAAACTGTGCATTTGTATTTTTCTATTACCAGGAGCAATTGCAGATGATGGAATGTCGGTTTTCGTCTGCTGAATCGAGCCGTGTCATCCTGGCCAAGGAGCTGGACTCGCTCAAGATGGTCCAGGAAAAGCTCTCCAAAGATCTTGTGGTAAGTCCATTCACAGATTGTTTTTCAGTGTGTAGGTCCATTCAAAATGGGCCAAGATGGCTAAACTAAGAAGATATTTTGAAGTTTTCTCCTCAACTGGAATAATGTTTTAATGAGAAATAAAACATTCCAGGCAAGTAAATAACCATTGCATCAATAACCATTACATCAATATAAAACAACAGACTCATGGGAACCACGAGCAAGCTGTGTGCCTGTGCTTTCAAGGAGACTCTGAGTTCATTTTTTTTATTTTTGGAACCCATGGGTGAAGAAGCATCCTAGCATAGGGCTTATAGATGCAATCTGGTGTTCCTTTCAGATACACAAACATTCACAGAAAATTGTTGATGGGAAATCTTTCTCTCAAATATGTCTGATTCTTTTCATCTTTAAAGGCTGCAAAGACTCAGAAGGAATCCTTGAAGATGGCTTTGGATCGTCAGACTAAGGAGATGAAGGAAGAAAAGAAGAAAGTACAGCTACAAAGCCATCAAAGTAGAGAGAAACAAGCCCTTCTTGTGGAACAGATCAGTGCCCTCAAGGATGGTATACAGCAACTTGCACAGGTGGGACTATGAAACCGAATTCAAGCCTTAGGCTAGTTCATACAATCTGCTGTAATCCGTGGCAGCTGTTTGTGTACTAAATAAATGGCAAGAGGATGATAAAACAGTAGTGGAGTGCAACAATGTTCCTATCTGAAATCAGTTATCTGTGTGTTATTAGATACAATAAGCAAACCTGTGGTAAGCTGTTGGTTTATAGTCGCATACACGAACAAGCCTTTACAAGTGAATATTCAATATGATTTAGTTGAAGGAATTTGAAGTGAAGTTACTTTTAGGGGAGGAAAGCAATTGGTAGGTTTGCATAGGGGATGGCCATAAATTGAGAATATAAATTCTTATTATTATTAAATTTAAATACCGGTAAGATGTATAGTGTATGTCTCCAAAGTCTCTAAAGCAGTTTGATTTACTTCCCTGAATTCTACTTTGAAACACTTATTCCCAGCATTGCAGTGAGGTCCATTCATTCACAGCACAACAGTCTAGCAAAAAAAAAGGAGAGCATAGTTCTTTTTTTCTTAAATACAGGAATGGACTTGTATACAAGACATAACCAAGATCACAAAATTTCCTTATTATTGCATCATTTGCCGTTACCTTGCATGATGTTTCATACTTGAGGATGCTCTGTTATCCCATAGGAGAAGGAGATGGCCTGCAAGGGCACCAAAGGCTCCCAGGAGGCCCAGCAGATTGCCACCAAGGACCTGAAGGACAAGGTCAGACGTACCCAGTTCCACTGCAAGGAGGAGGTCCGCAGGCGTTCAGAGCTCCAGAAGAAAATGGTAGGCACAGTCCTGAAAGATAATTATACATGCATTTGGAGATCGACAGCATTTCTTTTTCATGATAATCAAACTTGCTATCATTATTGTATTATATTACATACATTATGTTTTTATTCTTGTATCTTAATGCTGATTTTCACTTAAAGTGACTCGGTAACATCGTCTCAGATTCTGAAACAAAATCCTGGATTTAGCTCATGCTGCAATGTTAATTATAAACTTTTAGGTCAGTCAGGAACCCCATGAATTTCACAAGCCGATCGCCTGTCTGATTATAAAGATATTTTTAATTGGAATTCGAAATCAAATTTTCTGTTTTCCTAACGGTTTTGATAACACTACAGTCTATTTGGGGCCTTGTCACACATAAATACTCTATTCTCATCCCCTCTTTATTTACACATAAAAGAGTTGTTTTACTGCTACTGCAGTTTATTGTGACACGTGGGAATGAGACGTGATATCTTTAATATCTATTATTTCCCTGTTCCATTCCAGCTTGCCATGGAGACCTCTTTCCGTGACGAAAGCAAGGAGTTGAAGCGGGAGGTGGAGGACCTGCGGCTCCGTCTGCAGATGGGTGCTGAAGAGTACAAGAAGGTGTACAGCGAGTGCCGCCAGCTGGAGGCAAAGATGGAGAAGAGAAAGGTTATGAAGGAATCAACTCAGACAATGTCCTCATCAACGGACAGTTCAACCTCATGGAAGGACGCTGAGAAGACCCTGTCGATCGCCAAGAGTGAGTGCTGAGATTATTGAAGCAATATATTGTGAAGGCAAATGTCCCGAGTGCTTATGAGACGTTGATAAAGAGTATGAGTTGCAATACCGATGCTTCAAAGGGGAAGTCTATATCAACAGCAAGCTGGTTTTAAAAAAATGAAGGAGAAAAGGAAAGAAATAAATCTTTGAAATTTGTGGAAAATCTGAAGAAGAATAATTGGTTTTGCACAGAGTCTAAAACTTTTCATTTTTCCCAAAATATTATATTTTCCCATACAAAATTTTCAGGATTACACCATGTAATCTTCCAAACTTTCAAAGGAATAAAAGCACTGAAAGGGCTGATGAGCTCTTCTAGAAGCTCTAATTTCTATCAAGTCTTTTTCTCTCTCTTTCTCTCTTCCTACCTCCTCCCCCCCCCCCTCCCGTCTCTCTCTCCCTTTATCTCTGTCAATGTTTCAATTAGTATGCTCTGAGCATATTCAGGTTTATCTACCATGAACAAAGGCTGAAACTTAACTTGCAGGTATCCATTTTGTTTTTTGCCCTCTGGATCTGTGATGGGTACTTTATTTCCCAAAATAAAACTTCAAATACTAATATATGGGCATACAACAATGTAGCAACTCATAAACTTAGAAACCAAAGAGATTTCTAAAGATGTCCATGTTATTGTGTGCATAGGTGGAGAGGGCAATGGAGGTACTCTAGAGGTAGTGAGTAACAGTCAAGGCAGTCAGGTGACTTCAGAGCAGACATCCCAAGGAGTACAGGCTATGAGTAGCCAGGCTAGCCAAGGTAGTCAGATCACCAACCAGGCATCACAAGCCATTCAAGCTACCACAGGTATGTTGGTCATAGATCAAGGTCATTGTAGGCTCTGTGATGAACAGGGGAGGGTTTCACAAAGACTACAATTGACTTTAAGTTGAACTTAACTATGGTAGGGCGCTCATGCCACTAGTTGCTTTCACCATTGGTCTCTCAATTATGATCTTTAGATAATATTTTTTCCTTCAATAATGAACAATAAAAAATTCTGTAGATTTGTGACCACAATTGGTACGTCCCTTGAGAGACCAATGCCAGTAAATGGTGAGAGCAAATAGTGGCATGAACGGCCAGCCATAGTTAAGTCCAACTTAAAGTTGATCTTAGTCTTTGTGAAACACCCCTCAGGAATGATACCATCTCATCTGTTCATTCCATTCCAAGGATCAGCTAGACTGCTCCTCCATCATCATTACTTCCATTTCATCCTTATCATTGCACTGTCACTTGTAACACCTGTTGTTAAGTAGCTGCTGTGCTACCTACAATGCTTCATTGAGATTGATGTTGTATAATTATATCACTTACCCATTGAACATCATCCAACACAGTCCCTTGTCATCTCTCTTTCCAATTGTAACACAAAAACAAACTGTTTTATCTTGTAAAACACTCTTTGGTTTTTCACACATATGTACAAAATATCACCTTTTTTTTCTCATCCTGAGTCAAAATTCTAATATTGCTTTTGAGAAACATTTTTGTTACACTAATGGTACATTTATTGTTGTTGTTGAACCAGGGATCCAAGTCTCTAACTTGTCTACTCAAGCCATTCAGGCGACAACCAACCAAGCCACACAGGGCAGCCAGGTTGTAGGCACTAACAAAGAGAAGAGCACTCAGTCTGGCCTGCCTGCCGTAGCGACGAAGATGGAGGGAGCTCTCCAGAGGCCTGGGTCTCGAGACGACACCTTCGATCTGAAGGAGATGCATGTTCAGATGTGCTCTCTGTCCAAGGCGCTGGATGAGAGGAAGAAGGAGTCCGATGGTTTCAAGCGCTTGTATCAGGTCAGTTGACAAAGCAGACATGATGGCTCATAGTGGTTGCCAATGTTAAAACCCGTTTAAGTTTTTCCACTGATTTATTGAAGGCCAAGCATCAACCCTTGAATATCATATGAATTACTGTAATTATGTCACAAGATGAACAAGTAACCTTGATTTTGTCATAAAATTAAAATGAGAAATGAAGTTCATATTGACATTGTGGATTCGAACACAATGAAAAGGTTGACATGGCACACTATAAATCAGAGAACTTTATTTAAGCACTTGGGTGGGGGAGGGGGGGGGGTAAGCTAATTGGTTTTTGAGAATATGGAACAGTTATATTAATAGATGAAAATGTAGCAATTATGTAAGATGTTAGACAAATAAAATTCAGCTCCATCCCTTAAGGTGTACTTATATTTTCTGAAGCACCCAATATAGTATGAACTTTGGCAAACATTGATTGCAGTGGTATCATTTATTTATAACACTCTATAAGACATCTTGAGAATATCCTGTTTAATTGTATGTGTTGTTACTTTATGTAGGAGGAGAGAGAGAAGTCTGCACAATTGGAGCGTGTATGGCAGCTGAAATACCAGTCTCTAGAGGTAAAATATCTTCTTTTTCTAATGCATGTTCATCTTGGTCTTCTCCACATCTCTCAATACATGCCATGTATTTTTCCACCTACCTTAAGTGAGGTTTTTCAATTAGATTATACTGACATCATTAAGAAGCTTATCCTTTTTCTCCTATTTTCACTCTCTAAAGTCATTAATCAATGTATTTCCTCATCTACACTCCCCTCTCTTTTTCTTTCTCTCTCTCTCTCTCTCTCCCTCCCTCTTCCTCTCCCCCTCCATTTTCCCCTCCCTCTCCCCCTCCCTCTCCCCCTTCCTTTCCCCCTCCCTCTCCCCCTCCCTCTCCCTCTTCCTCCCCCTCTTCCTCTCCCCTCTCTCCATCTAGTATCATTATAAAGTAACCAATCCATCTTGCATCCTCTTTCAGAGTAAGAACACAGAGTTTCATGACAAGCACAACAAGATGCTCAATGACTACACCAACATGAAGCACAGCTACGAGAGTCTCAAGTTTGACATGGATTCCCAGCAGCGCAGGGCAGCTCCAGCGGCCCCTGAGCCTAGTGACCGACCAAAGCAGTATGTTAACCCCTACGCTGAGCCAGCTAGCCCCACTCAGTAAGTTCAACTAGAGTTTATGTATATTCCAGATGTATTCAAGTAGAATTTGTATATCTTAGAATCTGACTGGCTAAATGAATCTTTGTATTGCAGTGTTGTTTTGGAGGGGAAATGTTTCAGACAAGATTACCATAACATCATTACCCTTTTAACTTGTCTAAATGAAAGAAGACTTGTTACCTTTCATGTTTAATGCAAGTGAGGTTTCTTCATAACAATTATTTAACTTGCCATGCTTTCATTGTACTATTGATGACATTCATGATTTTGGACGTACTCTGATCAAAGTAAGGGTCACATTTCTGCGAAAACAGGGACTTGAAATATACAAGGAACAAGTATCATATTTCTTCTTGAATACATTTGTGAATTTCTATCTGTTGGTTGTTGCATTTTGATTGTGACATTGTTTCTAACAGCAACTGTGAAATCACTAATGCATGGTTCAAGTTTATTTTGTTTTTGAAGTGCCATTCGTACACCGGTATCATTAGAATCCTCCTTCTCCTCGTCCTCCATGCTCGAGATTTCTTCACTATTAACCATCTTCATCATCTCCCTCACTCCCTCCCTAGAATGGAGAATGGTAGCCCTGATCCACTAAACTCTCTCTATGGCAATCCCTACGCCACGTCCGAAAGGGGATTACCCTCCGCCCTAATGGAAGTTTCCATCGATAGCCTGGACATGGGCAGCATCCGCTACCCTCCAGATATGGTGGAAGATGCGGTCTTGTCCGATGCTTCAGACTCTATCCCCCCGGCCTTGCTGCCAGAGCCCCTCCAACCGGATGTCCTACAAGAAGGTACTTGTCGTCTTCAAGCATACAGTAGCATACCTGCAGTAGCCAACACGAAAGCAATAGTTATAGGACTAGAGTGAATGAACATGTAGCAAGCATTTGGCAACATGAACTCGTAGCTGCAGGACTCTGCGGCTATTCAAACTGTATACTACAGTATATCTAAAAATACGAAAAAGGACTGTAGGTTCTTAATACTTCTGATGGCAAACATATATCCATATCCATATTTATAGCAGATAAGAGATTTTCATTTTAAATGTAGTACCGTAATCAAATGTGGCAGAAAACAACTGTTTGACAATGCAGATACTATCATATCATAATGCACCTATATCCTACAAGCATGGTTTGTTGTGCACACTGTATTTGTTTCATGAGCATAAGCATGTGAACCTTGCATGACCGTCGTTTGTTTGTTGACTGAAGTTCTGAGATTGAAATACAGACTTCTTCCTACAGTAACGTGTACTGCCTATATGTTTTGTTGATTGTAGGGAAGATAGCAGCCATCAAGATGATGTCCTCACAGATGGAAGGGAAGAATGAACAGACCGATGATGATAGGTAAAGACCAGTTCCTTGTTCAAACTAATCTCAAGCCTCAAATAGTCCTATGCCCTATTAAATCAAGCTTTGGAAGAACTGTTTCTAATGCAACCCAGACCTAAGACTCTTATAGTCCAGGCCCTATTAAAGCGGGCTTGGTAAGTCCTGCTTCTCATATAATCTAAGCCTAAGTCCTGTTTAATCTGTTTAATCTGATTTCGTAAACAGTGTTCCTCATAAAACCACAGTCCCCAGCATTATAAAATCAGGTTTGGTGAGAATACTTTGTGATGTAAGCTGTAATATCTCACATTCTCAAGAAACGTAAATCAGGACAAATCACTTTTTGTTCATACTTCAAAAATCACAAATCTTGGTAAGGGTATATGAGTAATATAGTTGTTAAACTGTACTTTCTACCATTCCAATGACTCCACAGGGAGGATGCACAGTTCGTAGATGCCCAGGAATTCCCAGAAGCAACCAGCAGCCCCAATCGTGACCCAAGCGCTCCTCCCATGCCGACCTGCCCTCCCCCTCCCCCACCCGCCCTGGATCCCAAGAAGTGTCCGGAGTGCGTGATTGAGTTCCCGCCAAACTACCCCGAGGAGGACTTTGTGAGGCATGTGCAGAGGCACTTTGCCAAGCTGTGTCCTGTCTGCCAGGGTCTCCTAGATCCACAGATCAGCCAGATTGACTTCCAGAAGCATGTGGAATGCTGCCTCATGACACGCAACTGAGAGGTCACTTCCTCAAGGAACTTGACCCGCCCCTCCTGAAACCACAGTGAAATCCCTAACCCCAGTGTGGATGAGCAAGAGATTCTTTTCCCCCAAACTTGACTTATCTCTTGCTATGACCAAAGTTTCAACCCCATTTTTGAAGAGCAACTTATTCTTTTTCTCACAGAATTTAATTTGCCTTTTGCTGAGACTAAAATCAGTCCCCTAACTCTAGTATGAAAGGCAAAGAGATTCTTACTTCGAAGAATCTAACACATCCTTTTCTGAAACTAATACTGGGGCCCCTAACCTCATTATGGAATACCAAGAAGTTCTTTCTCCCAGGAACATAACCTGTCCCCTTGTTCTACACCCTATTAAATGGGGCATGACACCCCTGTTGATGACATCTGTACTTTCAGATTTCCTCCAGGGCTTGTCAAGGTATGGCTGTATTAGACTCCCGTTCCCCGTTGAACGTACAGCATCCTGTAACTCAACCAGTATTGCCATTATAGTTATACCAATGATAATGGCGACGCTTTACTTTTCCTGTTCCCTTTTACCGATCTCATGAAATTTCTCCCATCACAAGTTAGATTTAAGTAATGTTTGAAATACTAGAAATACTTAATAACTTTGCAATATCTAGCATCCAGACTTATGTACTGGCCTCTGTAATATTTGAGCTGTAGCTCCAACTGCAATAGATTGACTACATTTTAATAGTGAAGCTTAGTGTCTGAGAAAATTCATTGTGTATTAAAATTGATAGCTCCTATATGTTACCAATAGTGCAGTCTCTGAAGCACCCAACAATCTTCTGATTTTTCGTTAAAGGAAAACGTTTTGTATAATGAAGTAATGAAGTTATAATGTTACAGTATATTAATGATTCTTATTATCAAGAATGAATAGAATACTTTATCTTCTATCATCATGCTTTTCTTCTTTACACTTGTTTATGAGTACATGTTAATATATGTTTCATTCACTGCTGTACATTGAAAAAGAAAAAAAATTACGGTAGCAAAATTTAAGATGAATTTCTTTTGTAGTCTGCCGAAGCAAACCTTTCCTTGTAAAGAGGATATCTAGCCTCGGACTTCTTACGTTTGTTTACAGATTATTGCATTTCAGCAAAAATTTCAAATCATCATGAAATTAGGAGAACATAATCATGCATGTTTCATTTTGACAGCTAGATTTTTTTCTGCACAACGGATAAAACAAGTCTGTGACAATATACATACCTATATATATATATATTGCATTTGTGATATCATTTTGGTTTTGTTTGTTTTAAATGAATTTGTCATTTCTCTTATAATTTTATGAACTTCATCTTCCTCTATCGATATATTCATGTATCTCTTTAAGCAATCCTTAGTATGCATAACATTTATATTAAACAAAGATATAAAAGCAAACAGTGGAGGAAAAACTAGATATAGGTATATTTTAATGTATCATTGTTAATTTTATCTTGATGAGTGAATTTCTGAATATTGTTTGTATGAGGAGCTTGAATTGAGTTTGTGAATGAGAGGCGAGAGTGAGTTATGATAGAGCCATTTGCAGGTAACAGCCAACAAATGAAAAGAACGAGGGGAAAAAAGACATTAATATAATTTTTTTTTAGTATTAATTAATATTCATGTATATGTGGTATTCAGTTCCATTGCTGCACTCAAACATGATACCAGATAACATGCCACAAATGATAGGATGGGGCCTTGATTAATGCCTCCCTGCTATAGATTCATGCAAGGCAGATGTTTTCAAGGTCTAGATTTATGGGGGGGAGGGGTGGTGGATCAACAAATTATTTAAATTTGTCCTTGCTCTGGATCATTTAACAAAATTACAAGAACATTTTGTGAATTTTTTGTTCAAAGTTGTAGAAATTCAAATGAAAGATTGATTGACTATCATTATAGATCATAAATAATCTCAAATGTTACCATCAAAGGCAAACATGTAACCATGGAGACCAAAACGGAGGGAAATAACTTGGCCGTTGAGAAGCTTGTGACCGAGTGCCAAAAATGTGAATGGAAGAAGAAAGGATTGAACTTGTTTTTTTTATGAATTGTAATTTAAGAGATTAAATTGTACAGTGCTCATGAATATATAAATATGTCTGTAAAGTAAAGCAAGATTTAAGATAGCATTTATGTGAAAGTGACTAAAATATAATATTACACATACTTTATATGTTTGTAGTGTCATAATGCCTGAACCAATCTTAATTTGTAAGAAGTAACAACAGTGTGCTGTTTACTCTGTTTGTGTGAAATATACATGTTCTTATATCAGTTTGAAAATTGAAACTGCATCAACATTTTTTAAATATCCTCAACGAAAATCTTTTGTCAAATGTCTTCTGACAATAAATAGATGTAAATGTTTTCATTTCCTTGATTTATGTGGCTTGTGCATTCATGCATTGAATGTCAAGTCACATGGGATCATATGATTACGTGCATCATCTCCGAAAAGTTCTGTAGAATAACCAAGACATTTCTGACTTCAGATATATAACCATTATGCATTGCATATTTGCAGTGGCTGTATGTGCATGTAGTTAAACCATCACCCAATGTTATTGTTGAGTGCCTTTTGTAGTTTATAGTACCTGTAAGTCCATCTATTTGTGGTATGTTGGAATGCACCATTAGTTATGTTCTTATTTCCGTACTTAAATGTCAATGTATGGGCCTACGTCTTTGTTTTAAGGTAACTCGCAGTGTTGGTAAAATTAAAAGGGATCAAGTTGTGAAGTTACTGTTTTGTGGTTAAACACAACAAATTTGCTTTGGAACACTTGTTTTATTGTAGGGTGGGGGAGGGGGGTCTGTCACCTCTATTAATTCACTTGATACTGCATACCACAGGTAATATTGTTAACGAAGCTCAAACTGTTGATGGTTTTAAAATGGAAATTGCACTAGATTTAACACAGGAATTAAAAGGGAAACGAGTCAGAAAGATGTATTCTACTCATTTGGACCTCCATAAAGTTGGAAGGGCAATTTAGATGAATGGTTTCAACAAAATGTTATCATTGTTATCTGGGACTGTTTAAATGGTCAAAGAAATTCATACTTAAAAATATACATAAACTTAACCAACACTTGCGGATTACTTTAAATCCATTTAATGCATTTGAATGTAACCGAGTTCTGTATCTTTTTCATGTAGGCCTCTGCCAGCTTGTGGTGAAAAGTCATGAACTGATTCCATTTAAAAGAAATTCTGTTTATGAAATTCCAGTTGAAAGAAATAGTTTGCATGCTAACTGGAAAACTGCATGGGTCAGCTGTATCCATCCACAGATGACCCTTAACCTACTGTTGATTTCTTTCATCTGTCAGGCTTGCTTAGGTGTGGAAGATGGTTTCCAATGACTCATTAATGGTACCTACTGCAACAATTAGATTTAAAAGTATCTTTTACCTAATAGAAAAAAAATATATTGTATACATTTTTATTTGGGGCACAATATTATGTTGGAATAAACTTCTCTTATCATGCGAAATTGTAAAATTGCTATTCAGAATTGTGTTATATCTTAGTGAGAAATAAATGCAAACAGGTACATATGTATGCTGTAATTTGAAAAACAGACTTGATGTGACTTTTATCTGTTGAACTCTTATCTTATCCTCTTCCTGTCACCCCTTCCCCTAGGCCTCCGCTCTCCGCTCTCCATATCCCTACATATATATCCCCTACTTTAGTTGATTGTTTTTATGCCTCCGCCACCGAAGGTGGTGCCGGAGGCATCATGTTTTCGGGTTGTCCGTCCGTACGTCCGTCCCGTTTGACCATTATCACAATATCTCAAGAACCATTTAAGATTTAAACTTAAGACTCGGGAATAGTATTTATCACCATAGGAAGACGATCTGATTAGATTTTGGAGTACGTAGGTCAAAGGTCACAGGTCACAGAGGTCAACTTATGAAATTCCTTGTATTGAGTTTGTTAGCGCGATATCTCAAGAACCATTTGAGATTTAAACTTCAAACTTAAGGATAGTATGTATCACCATAGGAAGACGATCTGATTAGATTTTGGAGCACGTATGTCAAAGGTCAAGGGTCACAGAGGTCAACTTATGAAATTCCATACATTGAGATTGTTATCATGATATCTCAAGAACCACTGGAGATTTAAACTTCAAACTTAGTGATAGTGTGTATCACTATAGGAAAACAATCTGATTAGATTTTGGAGCACGTATGTCAAAGGTCAAGGGTCACAGAGGTCAACTTATGAAATTCCATACATTGAGATTGTTATCATGATATCTCAAGAACCACTGGAGATTTAAACTTCAAACTTAGTGATAGTGTGTATCACTATAGGAAAACAATCTGATTAGATTTTGGAGCACGTAGGTCAAAGGTCAAGGGTCACAGAGGTCAACTTATGAAATTCCATACATTGAGATTGTTATCATGATATCTCAAGAACCACTGGAGATTTAAACTTCAAACTTAATGATAGTGTGTATGAGAAACCGCATCCTAATTGATATAGTTGGTAAATTATTTTATCTATTTGGACCTGATAGATATCACGAACGTGTTGGGGTCCGTGTTGCGTTGTCCCATACACACCTTTCTGTGTACAGTGCTTGTAACTTTACCAAGACTGGGCCAATTTCATATCATTTTGATGATTCCAGAACCTTGCAGTACACACCAATACTTATATGCTAGATGATCAACCTTTTTTGATTGATTCCACGTTTCTTTCACAATGCAATCACATGACCAGAACTGGACTTTATCTTTTAACATTTTCATTCCAAATTCAGTCTCACACTTAGACCAATGGTTTTTGTGTTAAGGTCTTTTCATGAACTTGTTCTATAATTACCGGTAGCATACATTGCATATTTTTGTATATTTTCCTTTGAAAAATGACAGAATATCTCACAAAAATGAAAATATACATCCATGAAAATCAAAGATGTTTCTTCTTTTTTTCATGAACAAAAAACAAAAAAACTCACAATTTCTTTTCTTGAATGTATCTTTTTATTCTTTTTCGTCTTGTTCACTTTGTTACCTTGATAATTGCATCTTACAAAATACTTGTTGTTTGTTAACTTGTTTTGTTACTGGTTACCTTTATTGCACAACCATGCACATTTCGTTTCTGAATAGTTGTTTCTATAACTTATATAAAGTTTCAGTAATACAAAGGTTTATAGTACCATCTTAAATGAGATATAGCAATTGTCATACACACATCACATTTGTGGTCAAAATATTTCAAAGATTGTTAGAAAACAAGAAATGGCAATAATGTGGAGAGCATATACAGTTCGCACGCATGGACATTGGATCATCTATATACCAACGTACATCGTTTTCTTTTCAACTTTGACACACAATGCTGAATGAATAATCAAATTCTTGTAAAACATTTATCCAATATTCATTTCTAATTTTCTATCTCTCAATAATAATATTGCAGAGTTGGAGTAAATCTACTGCCAACAAATTCAAATTCAATGCAAGTTCATGACATTTTTGTTTTTCAAATATTCATTTAAGTACGAAGAGGAAAGAAGAGTTGCATAGAGCATACATTTGTACAAAAGCAAATCCATTTGAATTATCCCCAAGCTTGATGAGAAACTTGAATTTTTACACTGTCATGGGCATACAAAACTACTAACTACAAGTATACAAAAGCAAGGCTTTATCACCAACATATTGAACATGAGCTCACTTCTTTGTTTGTTTGTTTGTGCTGCTGGACACAGAAACATGACTTACAGTGAACATTGAAAAATCAATTACTTTCTGAGCATTTTTTAAAGAAAAATTAAATTAGAAACAGCCTCCTATTTGAAAGAATTATAAAGAGAAAAAATAAGAAGAAGTGATATAAAACGACATCCATGTACATTTTAACCTAAAACCCTGATCATCAGTCATGTAAATCAAAAACCAAAATGACACTTTACAACTCAAAGTGTCCATTGACAAAACAAAATTTCTAAGGCACAGTTAATGCAAAAATGTCAGCAACAAACAAAAATTTGGAAAGTCAACACCTGTCAAGAAAAAACTGAATGAAGCCAATTTTGAAGAAAAAAAAGTCAAGAAAAAGTAGAGTAAAGAAATAAAATGTCACTTTACATAAAAGTTAGACATTGAAGAAAAAAAAAGGAACACCAGAATGTATATTACATGTTTTAAACAATACTGTGAAACCAACTGTGTTCCAACTCACATGACTTACAAAACAATATCTTGTCACAAAGTTCAAGGCATAGTTTTCACTAGGTGATAATGGGTACTCGACTACAGTGAAATATACATTGGTTACAAAAGAGCCAATTTCAAAATGTATTTTTGATGACCATGTCACATTCTTCACAGCTGTTTATCACCACGTAATGAATGACCCCTAAAAATTGATCAGAAATTTACTTACAGAATAAATTAAGTCTGAAAATACATGAAGGAAATATGGATCAGCATTGAAAATTACTGCAGCATTGCAACATTTGATAAGAAATAAATGATCTTTGTAAATATCTCTGCAATTATGCCTTTTACAACAAACATCTGCTATTATAATATTACCAATATCGGAACGGTTTGAATGATAATTCATCTAATACTGATTTATCATTCTTCATAGCAATATGAAAGTTCATTCAGAGACAGTCTAATGAATAATTGATTCTCTTTTTAAATACTTTTGCAATACAGAAAATATATGACAATGAATGCATTTGGACAAAGATTGTAGAAAACAATAATGATTGTGCCCTAAAAGTTTATCAAAACAAAAACATCTCTCTTTGACAAGCATTGCAGAAATCATAGCACCAAAATACTGTTCATCTCCATGAATGTAATAAGCAACAAATCTAGAAATATCAAGCTCTAGATGAAAAGGGGAGTGTTCATGAAATTATTGCTTGGTAAGTTATATTTCACAGAGTATATTCCATGTATAAGGACAAAACCAACAAAGGAATAAACTTTACCGGTTGGCACAATAGCTTTGGATTATATAACACATGTCCGTTTTAACTTGTATCAATCTAATTCATGCAGGATGGCTAAATTTTGTCAAAAGATACACCACATACAGAATTTTTAAAACAATGTTTGTATGATACCGTTCATGTTTCTCCCACTATCACACATGTACATAGAATTTTAGATTTAAATTCAATGCAAATTTTTAGGTGAGATGCAATTTCTGTCATGTGACATCATGACATTTTGTAAAAAATAAAAAATAAACAAATTAAATTGAACCAGGTTGTGGTTTCATACTACAAAACTGACCCGGTGTCAGAACATTTTCAGTCAAAACCATTCTGAAAAATCACATACCTGAATGTGTGACTATTCTCAGCTTGAATCAAAATAAGTTGGCTGTCTGTATACAATTGTGTAAGATCTGATAGTATGTAACTGAATCAAAGGTATATCCAAAGGACCCAAGCATAAACATTTCATCAGAAATCTGTACCTTGTTTTGGTTTAAGCACTGACTGGAAATGCTAAGGTCATGGGTTCGATCCCTCACTGGGTCAAGACATCATAAATCTAATCTATTTGTGAATACTAAATCATTGACAGCACAGAATCCTAGTTTGGCAAGATTTGTTGTTCCCATAGTCTCCCTATTTAACATCCACATAAACAATAAATGGTAATTTGAATTATAAACAACACTTTTCATACTTTTAGGATAGTAAAAAGGCACATTAACTGGTTGTTTGTCACCCAAATCATCTCAATACAAAATGTTGTCCACCAGAGACTCAAATCTACAAGATTGATCAAAGTAAATCACCAGTTCTTTAAGTTCTCATGCCAGTCTGACTATCAGCTATGGCAAAACATTTAGATATGATAAGTTGATAACCCAGATGTACGAGACACCATGCTCCTGAGACAATTGCTCCATGATGATTTCCTTCACTTAACCAAAGTCAAACCTTCAACCCTAACCCTAACCTTGAAATAAAGCTCACAGAAATTGTTATCGGGGCAATTGTTGAGTTAACCCACAACCAATATAATGCTGGAGGCATTTGCATCAATAGGAATGACTTATCATCACTGATCATTAATTTTCAAATTTACATTTATCTAAATCTATTGGAGTATTTTGAATTAAAAATAATGTACAAATAAAGCGATTATCTGACAAATTAGTCCTTTTTTCAGAAGTAAACTTGGACCATTTTATGAGAGCACCATAAGGAGTTATAATTAAATTGATTTCATGGATTGTCAGTCCACTCAGAAACATTCTTAACATTCCGAACATGTAAATTCTTTTTACAATAGACCTGAATACTATTAATCAAAGTTATTCTTGTAATTACTCTTTTTTTTCTTTTACTTGCAAATTTGAAAGTTAGGGAGGAAAGAAGAAGATAGACAGAGAAGGAAAGAGCAAGAATGAGAAGAATTAGAGGAAGTGACATAAAGAGAAAGGGATAATAGAAATAGAAACATATGTATGAATATTTACAAACTTACAATAAGTGGCTTGAGGTTTATGTCTGAGAACACACAAGTAATTCCTGCACCCACACACAAGCTGCACATCCCATATAAAATCAGCCATGGTACATCCAGTATAACAAATCAAGTTTTGAACTTGGCACTGAAATATTCACGCTTTCTATTCTATCAAATTTGACACTGTGAAATAATCATCTATACTACGTCAGTTTAACTCAATGAAATAGACATCTATGCTATTCACTTTGACTACCTACATGAAATTGTCATCTTCTCTATTTAGTTAGACTCTATAAAATGGTGACCTCTTCTAGTCAGTGTGACTATTTAAAAAGGTGTTTTTCTTCTCATCTTTTCAGTTTGACTCTTCAAATTTATATCTATTCTTAGCAATAGCACATCTAAAGATTTACACTTACCAATATGCTCATGCGTGTAAGCAGATTGAGAAATTTAGTTTACAAACAGGTTACAGAAAATCAAGTTCAAAACTGGACAAGACAACACAGTTTTTGTTCCACAAATGTCTCTTCTTTTCAGCTTAACTCCTTGTAGTAGTCAATATATTTTCATTCAGTTTGACTCCTTGAAGTAGCCAATCAATCTATTCAATTTGACTCCTTAATGAAGGCAATCTTTCTATTCATATCGACGCTTTGTAGTCAAACTTTCTATTAACTTTGACTCCTTAAAGCAGTCAATATGTTCACGACCTACAGGAAACTTCTGTTTGACTAATATCTGGTAGTTTCAGAAACATGTTTCTTCACATTTATCCAGGTAATACGAACACATTAATCTTGCATAATAGCAGCGTAAGGCAATGAATAATATGCAGCAGTGTGAAAACAAAGTACCACACTGACATATCTCTTCTGATTTCAAACTAGTACAGTCCAAATTCAAGTTCTATGGCTCAAGTTGAAATCTTCAAATGATGGAATATATCTTGATTCAATTCATATTCTTTCTTGCAGACATCAATATAAATATTCAGACACCTGACCAGTATAGTCACTCGTTCGAGGATCCGTTCATACCACAGCATAAGAAAAACTACCGTTAGTGTAAATTGTGCAATTTTGACATTATATCAACTAACTTCCCATATCAGTCAATATTTCAAATACTCCAGTCATACCTTAATCACACCCATACACCAACTCTAAGCCGAATCCAAACCGACCTCGTCTTTGACATTTTAGTTAATGTATTTCTTTGTCGGTCTGTTGACGGTCTCATTAGTGTGACCTTTGGATACAAGAACCACTTTTAGAACAGAAAAAACTCACATCATCTCAGCAACATAAGACGTTTTGACAATACCTGCACGTTAAAGTTCATATAATACCAAACATATTCATTTCATGTTGGAGCAAATGTGATTGCTCCAATAGTGCATAGAATGCAAAACTTAATTTCACTTACTTTCTTACTTGTTTCATTGTTTCTTTACAGTAAATGAAGAATTCAAACACAAAACATAAAATGTAATGAAGCAGCCTTTCATTTGGCGGCTAAAAGAAAGAAACAAGTTACCTGTAAATGAGGTATTTGTAATGTACCATAAACATTTATGAACATTTAATAGAGAACTCTTGTCCTTTCAAAAAGTAAGTAATAAAAATAAACAAAAATGCAATTCAAATTTTACAATTCCTTCTTTGTCAAGATAAATCATGAAAAGAGAAATAGAAACAGTGTGAAAATAAACAAATAACTTCATGAATAAGAAAAGAAGAAGAAATAGCATGAAAAATAGAAATATTGAATGAAATTCAAGTGAGATGTATCAATTTACAGGTACATATAGGGCCTACTTTGGCACGTGAATCCTTCATTCACCCAGGCTAACCTAACGCTCAATTTTGAATCCATATTCAGCACTCTTGGGTCCGATGGGCTGGCGGAGGACAATCAGACGAAGACCTTTCTCATCGTTGGGTAGACTCTGCAGGCGGCGCAGACGCTCAGGGCGTGGGGTGCTTCTGTGCATGTACAAGAGGAGGAGTCAAGGAAAGAAAGAAAGAGTCAGTGACTATTCCTACAGGATATTCTCATTGGATTAATATAATACCCCCTTGCACAAAGAGAAACACAGGTATGATTGAAATATATATCATTGATTTATATTTCTATATATGCTTTAGATCAAGAGCTAAAACATGTGTAAGAATACTTACCATTTTCTATACAACTTTGTGCTTTGATTTCAATTAATTGTAGAAATGCTTTATTGAATCATTCACATTGTCTTTAGAATTGAACATAGGACGAAACAGTTCTGGCCTTTCCCCCTTGTACATTTCATTCAAGGTGTCTTTAACCCAACTAAGATCTTCCTATCGCACACACTAGAAACGGAGGAAAGGTCCAACTCACGTGACTTTGCGAACATTGACGGCACTCTGGCGGCTGGTTCTCTGATTAGTGATCAGGACAAACTCTACATCATCTCCAGTGTGGACATCCCCGTTGATCACTTCACTCATGTGAAAGAACAGCTTCTTGCCATCACCAGTGTCGTAATCAAGGAAACCATACTGAAAGGGACAAAGGAAGAGAAAGAGATAGAATGAGTTCATGACCACCATTATGGCTACATTCCTCTTCTAAAATATATTCTAATTGAGTTCATGATATTCAACACAGAGATGAAGTGAGTTCCATACTTCCAGCTTGATATCTCTAAAGTTTGTATCTTACAGATCGATGAAACTTTAATACAAAGCTATAAAACCTTAAATAGGCAATCATGTGACTCCTAAACATATGCAAATCTACATGTGTTCTGGGTTTAGTGCTGATTAAATCTTAAGTTGAAATGTTAAAAAATCGTGGTGGGCATAATTGGAAGTTGTGGTATAATTACGGCCAGACTAAAATGTACCCCCCAAAAATGAAAAGTTGCTGATAACTAGCAACATAGATACAAACACATAAGATAGGTGCAAATCGACTTGGCCTGCACATACTAGTATTCTTCACATTACAAAGTGACTTTCTAATTTTAGCTAATCACTCAGCATTTACAAATTTTCTTCCAGAAACATTTGGCAAATGCAAATTATTCAGTTAACGATTGCGTCAGATTCTGCTTGAATGTGTTTTTAATCATTACCAGAACTCAAGATCTTCCAATCCAACACATCAGGGTCATCAACATCTGCCCATGGGCCAGGAGGATTATTTCCCATGCTAATAGGATGTACAAACAATCTCAAGAACCCAATACTACGGCATCTTCACATGACACAAAGACAAAGACCTACCTGTCCTTTGATAGAGTCCACCCTGGTCCTGAGCAGACTGCGTACTGCAGCCACGCTACAGGCCCAGAGCTTGTCAGAGTCAGGCCAGGTACAGAGTTGGAAGCACACGTTGTCAGCCTTCTGAAGGAACTCATGCTTGTTCAGCAGGCTGGTGATTGAGTAGGGGTAGGTGATACCGGTAGTTCCATCTATCAAGAACAAATCAACACCCATTTATTGGTATGAAGACTTGCCTTGGAGGTCATGTCATTTTTCATTGCACTCTAATCAAAAATATATTGAGGTTCTGGATCTGAAGTTATGACTCAAAAAGTTGTGGATTATCAAAGTATGAATAGAAGTGGAGATAGTGTAGGGGTAGATGGTGCCAGAACTTGCAGACTTCCAGGACAAATAAATATCTCTCATTCAATTTGGACACTGAAGGTACCATAATATCATAAGTCTTTTTATATATTTGTTTCACCTCTGTCTTTTTCAATTGGTCAATATGTTTCATGAATCTGAACAAGAATCTGATATCACAGCTTTCAAACATGCATGTAAACATATCACTTTGAATGAACCACATTTTTTTGCTTTAAAAAATAAAATTAAAAAGGCCTTATGGACATCCAGTATTCGATCTTATTGCTTTTGCCTTGTAAATGAAAAAACTATTTAAATAAGATTCTGCTCCTACTTTGAAGACCTACCTTCATTGACTACGGCTACAAGTCCAGTGTATTCCTCTTGGTTAGGGTCTACGTTACGTAGTGGACGGATGACAGTTCCATTGTGTTGGCCTGGTTTAACATCCTGGTAATACAATCAATAACATCAAATATTAGAAATAAGTTTTTCAGGGATGAACGTCTCATTATAACAAAGTCCCTAGGACCATGCAAACAATTCACTTTAAAACATGATTGTTGTACAATAATAGCACACAACGATGAACATTTAAAGATAGAGAGCAAACAACCTTGTAATAACACGTATTCCAGGAGTAGGAGAGGAATTCATTCTGTCCCAAATATGTCTCTGCTTGGCATCATGATATATTTGAGCATTTACCCTTCTTTAGAAGCTGAGAGAATGATGAAAGATATTCAGAGTTTGGCCTACCTTTGGTGGGATGACTCCGGCTTGTACTTTCTTGACTTCTTCGGCACTTAGTTTTGGTCCTTTGCGCACCGCGATGTAAGAGACCTCATAACCTACATCTAGATCATTCAGGTCTCCGTGGAATTCACTTCATTGGAAATAATGTGAAAGGATGTCGATATGAACAATAAATAGGCAATGGTTTACTAAGAGATGTATTTGAGAAACTACAAATATTTCTGTAAGAATACGGTATAACTATGCAATGGGAAGAAAAGTACTGGTATGCTTTCAAAGACTATTACAGTAGTACAATGAACTATATGCATGTATAGGACATACAATATGTCTTATGTACCAACTAACTATGCTAAGTGTGTAGTATATAGGACAAAATATGTATAGGTTATGTATATAAACATCAAATAGAAGTCTAGCAGTAATGAAGCATGGTAATAAATTACATGAAATACATGAACACCAATTGAATGATTTTTTTACATCTTCCCACATATGTATAAGTGTAGGACAATTGTGTTAAATTTGTTTCCTCTTTTTCTGAAGTATACTTTCATGTAATCACAAGGTATGGATATCATTTACAGTGCCTAAGATAAACTTAATGATTAATGATTTCCTCTACATAAGATGGTTGAAGAATCAAAGATTATACCTAAAATGGAAGAAGATTTCTTTGTCTCGCTTGTCGCTCTCGATGAATCCAAAGTTCTCCTTCATGACCGAGATGACTCCTATCTTACGAGAGTCAGAGCTCCTGTTGAGGACATTGATATTGACTGCCATGCGGGAACCATCTTTCTTGATCTCAGCCACATTGAATTCAACCTGTTTAATAACAACAACAACAACAATAAATATAGTAGTCTTGGAAGCATTGTTTACACCTCAGACACAATATCGAGGCCCACACTAGACAGACAATAGACTAAACAAATTACAGTACTCTAAATGGCCAAGATTTTGTAGGTTATCAGTCAGTTCGGTATAGTGACTGAGGTAACAGAAATGACAAGAGAAAATGCCTAAAAAGAAACAGCCACAGCAAAATACAGACAACTTAAAGTGTAAATACACTGGAAAAGGCAATTTTATGGGAGGGGGGGGGGGGAGGGTATAATTGTCCCTAAAGGCCCAGTCCATACATCCTGGTCTGTAAATTATGGGATATATAATTTGTCATCTAATTATCTTTTGCCCAAGCCTTGGAATTATTACAATTTGTTAAAGAATTGTGATGCTTTTGATTCAAAACAAGCTTTACGGAACAGGGTAGTGAAAGAAAATATACTGACCAAGTCACCGATGGCCGGTGGTACTTTGACATCAGTGTCCTTGGCATGGAATGCAATGTTAACTCGACTTCCATTCTGACCGTAGGTGATGAAACCTATATCAAGCTCCTTGTCTCGGTTCTTACCGGGGCTACGACCCCACTGAAACCATGGAAACATCATATGAACATTGTTAGCGGCTGACAAGTACGATTCCACATCACAAGCATTATCAACATGGCATAAAAATCATACTTGGGATTAACTATAATTAGTCTGCTAGAGGCAATTAGCCTTTTAAACTGCCAAATTCAGTTCATAAAATTTATTCACAGCACTATTCAGTTTGTATGTTATTAAATAGGCATGAAAAACCTCAAGTTTGCAAACGTCTAGTTCAACTCACCAGGTTAGCAGGCACTTTGTCGACAAGACCCTGGACACGATCAGGAAGAACAGTCTCAAAGGATACGCTACCCTTTGGTAGGCGTTTGATACGAATGGCTATCTGGCGTTGAGGAGAGGTTGGATCCTGTAGTAAGAGTCAAAGGCATCAAATTATTCATGAGTCAGGTAGCTCAGCCCTCAAAGAATACACAGCCATTCATCTGCCACAGAAGTTATTCCGAGTAGTTAGCATTCATGAAGCTTACTAACTTTAGTAGAGTATACCGGGGTACATTTCCTCCACTGATTTATGAAAAAGCCAAGTGTCAATATCTTCATTCCATAGAAAAATTATCACGATTCTTTAACTATGTGAACAAAAAATAATCATGATCTCATGAATAAATCTCTCATTTTCATTCTCTGAAAGGCTTCATTTCTTTAATTCATTTTCGTATAGAATCACAATAATTTGTACAGAAGACAACTCCTTAAACGATCTGTAAATGGTTGGACCAATATCTTTCATCTTTCTTAGTATCAGCCTTTTCCTAAATAAATCCAAATTATGCACTTGAGGAAATCATGGTGTGAAACAGTTGAACTCAATGAAGCCCTTTCATTACCCAGAGAACACTTGATTCAGGGTAATTTCTGGCTTAGATGAAAGTCAGAACAGTATTCCGATTTTAAAGGGCTAATCTTTTCCCTGTTTTGCACGATAGTTTATGTGTTAACTGCTCCTCAATGAATACACCCATTACCTATTAGTATTGGATGGTTCCTGTACTAAATCTATGGGAGTGAAAATTCAGTGTTCAGTGTCAAACCATGTTGTATACTCACAGGTATCACTGAGAATTCTGTTTCATCAGACACACATATATCACCCTGTAGGAGATAAAAGAGAAAAAATAAAATAGTATGAAAATGAAGCATAGAGAGAAGTATCATGCAGAATACTGGTATAGAAATACATAAATGACAGCAAACTTGCAACATATCCACTGGTTTTCAACAAATATTACTACAGGAGAATGTTGCTTTTGATTTATGATAAAGGATGCCACTGAAGGATTTCCACTTGCAATTTTCTGAACAACCCCCATCATATCTATGGAATATTTAGAGGCTCTATGGTAAACACATCATCACAGTGCAGTTAACTCATTCTCAAACATGATATTAGGGCGCTTTAGCAACGAGACGGGTCTCGCACTCTTGTTACCGTCGTGATATTTAAGCGCTTTCGCTGTCTGCTTAAGGCGACGGGGACGGGTATCCAATTCCCGCGCTGAACGGCACACCTGCTGCCTTTTGGTGCTAGTGCTCGAGAGCCGTGAGGCTTGGGCGGAGCGCCGGGGTAATGGACCCGCGGCGGTGGGCTGTAGTGCACAGCGGGCAGGCACGTCATGCATAACGATGAAAAAGGGCCCCAAAGTAGTAACACTAGTAGATTCCCTGTTTTTATCTTCAGTAGTCATGGTAGTGCCCTGCATTGTTAGATCTAGATAAAAATTATTTGTCAGCTCTCTCTCTTATGTCGTGTTTAGGGAACGAACGCTATGTTGGCCCAGTACCGTTCCGAAAGTCGACGGGACGGAGAGATTTCAGGTTCGCGCATTTTTCGCTCGCGTTACCGTCTCCTGTGCGTACCGTCTCGTTGCTAAAGTGCCCTAGTGATATTCCACTGTCCCTTCATTCTGGATAAAAAATTATCATATATTTCTCCTTCTTCAAAGTCTTATCACACACAAAGCATAATTAAGAAGAAAAAAATGAAATTCACAAACAAATCTTTATTCTAATGTCTTAAGACAAACGATGAAGTACAGAAGCCATCTCTTTGTAATCCCCTTTATATCCGCTGGAAAAGTCAAAATTCGTGAATATATAAATGAATGAGGAAAACTGATACAACTTACAGCTTGGAGCATCTCACTGAAGTGAAAGAACATCCTAGCTTCCCTGCAAGCACACTTGATGAATCCAAACCCATCCTTGACGGCAGCTACAGTACCCTGTCAAGGAAGAGAAATATCAGGCACGATGACGACTCATCTCAAACATTACTATTTCTCTATTGCCCATCTAGACATGACATACTGCTATTATATTTCCTTGTTACCTAAGATAAATGATCTACAGGGTTTACAGGGCCCTGTTTCATTGATTGTTATAAGCTACTGAAATAATTGCATTTGATTGGCCAAGAGAAAATTTGTCATAGAATTTTAGCATTTGTTATTGATCAGCAGTTTTATGAAACACGGCCCAGGATTTCATGGAAACAAAATTTCACTGATTTTTCCCTGATAGAGTTTCGACACTGCTTCATCATCAAAGGAGACATTTAACACATTAAACAGCCATTACATCCAAACGTTTAGTGGTTACCCTATTTAGACACAAGGCAAAATGTAAGAGACTGACTAATTTCTTTTGGGGGTCAATGAAATACCCTAAATTTTCACTAATTCGATTGATTTTGCTCAAACTTCCTTACTTTCCCATGATTGGAAAGAAGAGAACAAATTGTCAAAGTTTTACTTGATTTCCAGAATCGCTGAGAACCCTGACATAACAGCAGCAATATACTTTTGTTTCCGTCAGATTTGCTTTGCTGACAGCCACAGATGGGTTCAACAAATGATTTACTAGGACATTGCATTCTATACAAGGATTGAATCGTCTAATAAATTCTTCTTCTCGCTTCACTCACTGTTTCTCGTTTCTCTGTGCCACAGGTGAAGGTCTCTGCCGCAGCCAGACTGATGTTAGTGGCCCTCTGTAGGTGGTCTCTCCTGTCCGTTGCAACGTAGAAATGAACGATGTCAGCTACCAGGAATGTGTATGAACGCAGTGTGTCCTTGTCTCCAAAGGAGAGCTCACGTTTCCTACAGGTATGACATATCAGAGGCAAATTACAAATTTAATAATGGAATGATAAAAATATCATCTGTGCTAATTTTCCAAGTAGGATATCTAGTTCTCTTTCATAGAGCATGTTAGTTTAGCCTGACCTTCTACTTTTTCAGAAAAGATGCTTATTCTGTAAATGCCGGCATTTCTGGAGGAGAGAATGCCGATAGTTTTCTCTTCTTTCCCCCTCACCATGAAAGGTGTACTTTGATCTGATAGGTGATGCATATTACCGCTTTCACAAAGGAGGTTAGGATTATGAATATTTGTAGTGTCAACAGCTAACCCAAGTTCATTTAGTTGCAGCATTCATCGGAAAGAACCAAAGTATGAATAACCTTGTGCACGTGGGTATACTGAAAAATATACTCTCTGCTTTGAAATGGTAAATGCTGTTCAAGTCCAAACTGCAACAAGGTTTTGGTGTACATTATCCAAAACAAAAAAAGAAGTTCCCTGACATAAAAGAAATCATTGATGAAAACAATAACAGGTTTTCCTTTGAATGTATCTTGTTATAAACGATGCTCACCCTCCATCCTTTGTGTTGTAGATCAGTCTGCCTGGGAACGGCTCAGCAGTCTTCTTGTTGGTGAAGCGGGGAATGACTTTGTTGATCACTCCTTGGTAGACCTCCTGGCTGATATCTTCAAAGACTACAGTCCCAGATAGCAGCTTCTTGATCTGGGTGGCAACCTCTTTCTCCTGGTAAAAAAAAAAAGATTGTTCGATTTGTTTATTCTACTTTATCAAAATTGTTATATTCATAATGGATTCAAGCTCCTGCGTTTTCTCCTACAATGAATACTTAAGGTAAGATTATAATTTAATGTCTAAGGATTTGCAGATTAATGCACAATTATGTGCAGGATATTTGACTTATCCTCCAGTGACAAAAAAAATGGTTAGAGTTAGGATTTTGATTGGGTATAGATTTGGAGTTAGGTTTATGCACAGTGTTGCATCTGTGGAAGAATTTAGGGATCCAACAAGTACAGTGCATGCATATATGCATTATCTGCAAGAGGGTCATTGAAATGTGGTTACTTGAATAGAACTATGCAAAATTCTGTACTAGAAAGCTGTTCTGAGAAAAATGAGCTCTGGTTATCTAAAACGTTGACTTACATTGCGATTTCCAATTTCAAACTCGACATCATCACCAAGAATAAGATCACTGACGTCACCAGTAAACTCACTGTAGTGGAAGAAGATCTAAAAGGTAGATATAAAAAGTAATTGATATTCAAGCACATAGTAATATGGATGAAACTAGAATACACCACTCGTGACTCCTGTAGCTTAGTGCCCAGGCTAAGAATGAAAGCAAAGTTTTGCTGTATTAGCACACAAGATATCAAAATGAACTATGTTTTTCTAATCTTATTGTCAGAACTCATACGCATGCATCATCAATTAGATATTGAGCTCCTTTCACATACTTGAAGCCACTGTAAATCACACATGTGACAACATCTTTCACAGATGTTACATGTTTCAATCACATTCTTCTTAACATTCAAGATCAAGAGGTATTCCAGGCTCATATGCAATAGCATTTGCAATAGCATTATTTCATGCGCACACCCAGTCCAACTTGTTTTATTCCATCAGAAATGTTGAGCTATAGCTCATCAGATTGAGATTCTGTTAGCTTGGGTGATGGTATTTACATAATCTGACTTAACACGAACCATTGTTATAAAGGATGTCATCAAAGTGATATTTGTCGGATAAAAGAGCTTGGGTGTACATGTAGCCTACCTCTTTGACTGCATCAGCCCGCTCAATGAAGCCGAAAGATTCCTTCATGGAGCAGACGACGCCTTGGTAGCGGGGCACTTGAGCAGACTCCAGGAGCCTTAGATTCCTGGCTTGCATGTTACCATTCCTAAACAGGGACAGCAAAGATTATCACAGCAAGTGAGTTTTTATCAATGATCATGAAAGCACTTGCAAAACATATAAGTTATTACATAAGTTAAGTAGGTGACTGATTTAAGAATTTTTTTTTAAGGTTTACCCGGTAACACCCTTTCTCCTATTTATATTATTTTATTTTGTTTTTGTTCTATGTTTTAATTTTAATTCTTTAATTTTCTTTTTTATTTGTTTTTGTTTTTGTCACTAATATTGAAAGGGTTATCTTAATTCAGATATGAATACAAGTTGTAATAGAAATTCACTTGAATCTAGTTTTGTTTAAATAAAAGGTATTTGTGCAAAAAGTATATCACAGCCCTTCTGAACTACCCTTGAACAATGTCCTTTTGAAAAAGGTGCATCCCCAAAGTCAGGAAATGAAGTAAACATACCCTACTTCCTTCATGACCTTCATGGTTTACCCTAAATCTATTTCACATAGTGTTACTTGAGAATGCCTCCTGGACTAAAACACCAGAGTAGATCACAGATTTTACTCACATAAAAGGGAGGGGGGATGTAAAAACTTTTAACAATTAAGAGAGATAAATTGTTGCCGTGTACTTCAGATGTCAATTAGGCTTCATAAGGAGGAGGGGAGCATGGGCCATGAGTTAGGAGATACCCAACAAAGATATTCTTGTATGAGATTTAGATATGGGCCCTGTCTTAGAAAACACAGAGTTGCAAATGATCTGAAGCAAGCACAACTCAACTTGACTTTCATATCGATCCCAACTCTATACAAGGCAATTGTAGCACTGATTCATTACATAAGTCACAATCGATTCAGATAATGCTGCAATTTCTTGTAAGATGGAGCAAAGGACTAGGGACTCACTCACCTCTTGTCCGTTGCAACTTGGAAGGCAACCTTGTCACCCTTCTTGATAGCAGGTACCTCAGGTGCATCCTCATAGCTGTACATCAAGAAGAAACTCTCCTTTGGACAAAGATAGAAATGATATTACATCACGGCACTTCACATTGTATATGCAAACTACTCGATATAAACTCTGCATAAGTCAAATATGTTGGGACTGTAAAAAACTACTTCAACTAATGCAAAATTTGACAACATGTTTCAATAGTTTGGTGTTTTTGTTTTATTTAAATGATATAACTTGGGTAAAATTATCTGTATATCTAGAACGGCATACATTATTCAACATTTTTAGAATGCTCTAGAGACTGTTGACTTTACAGGTGATGCTGAAGGTTATGGGGTAAGACGAGACATCGACTGGCTGACTGACCTTGGCTCAGTGACGTTAGTGTCAATAATCAAAAGTCAAATGTAATGATCGAGAAATACAAACCTTGGGTACAAACCTTGGGTACAAACCTTGGGTACAATCCCATTTTTTTTCTCATTCCAACTATCCTGTTTATGATCTGCAAACCAATTTAACCAACTACATTCTGACATACATTCTGACCAATGGGTAAATTCAAACATACAAAAACATGAAAAAACAAAAAATGGAAGGAGGTTGGGAAAACAACTTACCCCACTGATCTCATATGCCACTTGTCCAAATTCAGCTGGTCCGGCATGCTATAAAGAAATGAAAAAGAACAAGATATCAATAGACAAACCTTTTACCTACTCGAGAGATGAGCCTGAATTGTTAAGAGTTCAAATACTGTCTATGACACTGAATATTTTATGGATTCTAATTTCAGCAATAGTTTTATTTTCTAGTCTCCACAATGACACGCCAGATACTGCATCGAGGATAAAGCATCACGTGACATCAAATCTAAGAAACGCACAAGGATATATTGTTTATCACATATTTTTAATGTCATCCAATAAAAATAGAATAGAAAACCATGTCATAAGGACTTGCGAAAAATTTATCAATAACAAATGTCCATGGAAATTCATCTTGACAGAAAAACCACTGAAGGTCGCCACTGTGCGGCACCCAAGAGAAAGAAAGAAAACAACTTTATGTTTACTCACTCCTTTGGTACTAGGTGGTTTAGCCTCGGTGACGATGATCCCCTGCAGCTGTTCAGGGGCTAGGATCTCTGTACTGACCAAACCCGGTGGTAACCTCATGATCCTGCTGGCGATGGGTTTGCCTGTACGACGGTCACTGATCATTTCAAACTCTACAGGGTCTACAAACAAAAAAGAGGAATTTTTAGTAGAAGGTGGCAGGAGAAATTGACATGGTAATGAATCATCTCAAACTCTACAGGGTATACAAGACATAAAGAGGAATTCTTAACAAATAAACTGACACATCCTGACAAGAACATAAATTTCTGATTGTAATTTTACCCAAAATAATTAAAACAGTAAAGGATTCCACTTGCACAATGTTAATTGATATAAAAAAAATGAATAGTGAAAAAGATAATGAATTACACATCTCTGTTTTTGACCTACTTTTTGTTGCATTTGAAATTACATGGCATGGAGTAAGCTTCAATTTATTACATTTTTTTCTTCTTCAAAATATTCTTTTTACTGTTTTTTGTCTTCTACTATGCTATTATCAAAGCAGTCTTTCATTGCTCCTAGTAATATTACTGAGAATATTGTTGATACTACTGCTGTTAAATCACAGTACTGGTTCTAATATTGAAATTTGTTTTTACTCATTAAATACATTAGAAGAGTGTTTTTAGGATGAATTTTCTCCAAAATATTTTCTTGATTCCGATAAAATAATAAAGAATAGTTTTTATACTACTGCTACTACTTCTCGTTATCATTTCTTAAGCTACTGCTTCTACTATAGTTATTTGCTATTCTCACTAACAAACAGCAGTAGGCTGTTTTCAGGATGACCGTCAACTTACCTCCAATGTGTAGGGTATCAATGGGCCCTTCAAAGTGGCTGTAATGAAAGAATAGTCTTCCATCTCGGTCACAACACTGAAGAAAGCCATAAGAAGACTGCAATAAAACAATGAGGAAAAGACAAGTTACCGTATGAATGTAGTAGTTACAGTTGTGTACTTTTCAGGTTTATTGCAATTTAGGGCTATTCTGAAAATACAAAACAATATGATATGTGAGGTATCTTAGCTAATACTGATGTACCATGAAACAACTTCAATGCAGAAATTACCTAAAAAATTAACCTTAAAAAAAAATGGAGTTCCATGTTCTTTCTTTTTAGATAGTTTGACTAGATGTTTTTTTATTTTAAAGAAATAAAAATCAAGCAGATGCAAGCTTATATTCAACTACTGTATGTCGGGTAGGCAAGAAAGGGAACTGACAGCAGAGATTATCAGATTAAAGCTACTGACATTCTTGATACTTACAAGCATTTTTTCAATGATTCCAGTTTCTCTGACAGCCACAGGTGCAATGCTGCAATCAAGTAACAAGAAGAACTAGATGGAATTTTGACTGCGCGCAGTCGAAAATGATGCCTCCGCCATAGAGCAATTTAAACAAGTTTGGAGTTTAAATCTCCAGTGGTTCTTGAGATATCATGATAACAATCTCAATGTATGGAATTTCATAAGTTGACCTCTGTGACCCTTGACCTTTGACCTACGTGCTCCAAAATCTATTCAGATTGTCTTCCTATGGTGATACACACTATCATTAAGTTTGAAGTTTAAATCTCCAGTGGTTCTTGAGATATTATGATATGGTGATACATACTATCATTAAGTTTGAAGTGAAAATTCTCCAGTGGTTCTTGAGATATCGCGATAACGATCTCAATGTATGGAATTTCATAAGTTGACCTCTGTGACCCTTGACCTTTGACCTACGTGCTCCAAAATCTAATCAGATTGTCTTCCTATGGTGATACACACTATCATTAAGTTTGAAGTTTAAATCTCCAGTGGTTCTTGAGATATTATGATAACAATCTCAATGTATGGAATTTCATAAGTTGACCTCTGTGACCCTTGACCTTTGACCTACGTGCTCCAAAATCTAATCAGATCATCTTCCTATGGTGATACATACTATCACTAAGTTTGAAGTTTAAATCTCCAGTGGTTCTTGAGATATCATGATAACAATCTCAATGTATGGAATTTCATAAGTTGACCTCTATGACCCTTGACCTTTGACCTACGTGCTCCAAAATGTAATCAGATTGTTTTCCTATAGTGATACACACTATCACTAAGTTTGAAGTTTAAATCTCCAGTGGTTCTTGAGATATCATGATAACAATCTCAATGTATGGAATTTCATAAGTTGACCTCTGTGACCTTCGACCTTTGACATACGTGCTCCAAAATCTAATCAGATCGTCTTCCTATGGTGATACATACTATCCTTAAGTTTGAAGTTTAAATCTCAAATGGTTCTTGAGATATCGCGCTAACAAACTCAATACAAGGAATTTCATAAGTTGACCTCTGTGACCTGTGACCTTTGACCTACGTACTCCAAAATCTAATCAGATCGTCTTCCTATGGTGATAAATACTATTCCCGAGTCTTAAGTTTAAATCTTAAATGGTTCTTGAGATATTGTGATAACGGTCAAACGGGACGTACGGACGGACGGACGTACGGACGGACGGACGTACGGACGGACGGACGTACGGACGTACGGACGGACAACCCGAAAACATGATGCCTCCGGCACCACCTTCGGTGGCGGAGGCATAACAATTACCCTGAGGTTTGGCTAGATATTCATATTCATTATATCAACTGCATAGACAGTGTTTCAGCGGACACAACAATCTTTTTCAAAATAATTGAATGATCCATTTATTTCAAACACAGCGTTACTTCTGATCATTGCCAAAATAACAAGAGGAACATGTTGAGAAAAAAAAGCTCTATTCAGATCTACCAGTGTTTATATTCCACAATCCACACAATATTTTACATGGAGTCAACTATAAAAAAAATTGATGGTTAACCATGGTGCTCTGCTCAAAGGAAAAAAAGAATACATCATCATATTGCTTGTGAGTTATTGTAAATTTGAATTAACAAAATGAACATGCACATTCACAGGAGCCTTTTCGCATTCAAAGGGGGACAAAATCTTCTCAGGAAGGCTATTTTGATATATTTTCAAGGCAGCTTTCAGAGCTTCTCTAAGCCTCTCTTAGCTACTTTAAATCTAAAACTATAAAAAATAAATGGAAAACTAATTACCGTAGATACAAAAACTACCAAACATGACTAAAAAATCTTTGGCTGAAAATAAAGAAGCAAACTCTAGAACTTACCCATTGTTGATTTGTGGGCCTGGTCCTGGGTAACTTGTGGATCGTGAAAAGTTAGGCTGCCACCATTAGGGGAGAAGCTCTGCTTGTTGTAGTTGGAATTGTTTGATTGGTCTTGGGAGTTACAGCGCTGAAAAGGACAAAAATCAATATACATCATATCATAAGGAGGGCAGAAGCAACATGTCATAAAGAGGATAGAAATCAATATACAACATGCAACATAAATAGAAGGGTATTCTTCATTCAAATGTGTTTTTATACAAGTGGGAGTAATGCTGGAAAAGGCACAGTGATTGATCCAGATATCTGAGTACTGGTAATCCAACCCCTGGAGTCTGATCAGAGATTACCAGTAATCTTGTCATGTTTACATTAAAACCCATAGAATTATCTAATAAAAATACATCATTATCATGTCATTTAACTTAATACAATAAATTAAAAAAAGAAGTCATTGGGTTACATTAAAAAAACTAATTATAGATCGCCTCATTCACCTGTATCATATTGAAACCGAAAGAACTCCCCTGAAGCAAATGATTTCATTACAAAAGGGCCGGGAATCAATCAAGTCTCTCATCAAGCATAAAAGCATTTTCTTTCATAACTCAAGACACACAAACTACAATTTACCATTACACATTTTAAAGAAAACTACTGTATATTTTACGCATTTAAAAGGGGAAAAAAGCATTAACTTCATAAAGCAGCATATTAAGAGACTACACAAGGACTGTCTAAAATGTCATGTTAAGAACCTGATACATGTACACAACCTGGCTTGCATTACATCATCACAATTGTGTCCATGCCAAGACCATTGCCAAGTATGGCCTCAGACTTAATTATGGCTTGAGCGGTTCGAGACGAAGATGCACATTGAAGAATGTAAGATGGCATCCAAATGCTTAACTATATGCATGCACATTGTCTATGTTGTTGTTACATGCAGTACATGTATGAACTCCATGCACTACATTACAATTTGACTTGTAATGTACATGTAGCATTAAAAATAATGTGGATTTTTGTTTTCATAAAAGATGACAAAAAGATGAATCATGCTTACTATACAGGCTAAGGGTACATTCCTAGAATTAATTCTTCAGAAAAGACTGGTTTCTCTCTGTTTCCTAAATCTGTCTGCTTGGAAAATGCACAACATCAATTAAGATAATCCTCAAAACATTCACTAATTTATTTCCTCATTTCTTTTATTAAACTCTGTACTGGTTCTTGCAATTAGATTGGATCCGTGTGACACATCTTCAAAATGTGAGTATGTGATGATATGAAAAGCTATGGTGTAGATCTACATCTGTTTGTTTCTCATTACTTGAGAAGCCTTTTGCCACTCAAATACGAAACATGCACAACATCATTGGTTGGCTCCGACAGATGTACGTGCCATGCAAACAGCAGACGGGAAATCATGCAAACAGACATTTAGACTACCACAGTTGATCATGCTCTACAAAGATAATGTCATCACATATTCACACACAGACGTGACAAGCATGAAGGAATGCGGTAATGTGAAACCTACATCACAAGCACGTGATCTGGGTTAACTCGCATGCTGCTGTGTCTTACAAACTACCCCAGGTAGAGCCTCATAACAATAAATACAGGATTGATACAAGCATGTGAAGTGATTGTGTACACCTGTATGTGTAGTTTGTGTACATGTCATGCATGTCACAAAATAGTGATATTATGTTGCGGTTGTTGTATCTTTATCTGGGAATATAAATTTTGGCAGTACAAAATGCCTGCAGCATTAGGCCAATTAAGGGTTGATCTCAATTTGTGTTTGTTTGTTAATTTCATTTTGCTTTGTTTTGTGTTGATAATAGATTTCTAGCCGGTTGGTATTCCATGGGATGATAAGTGTTCAGGTACCGTGTAACTTCATTGTTGAAAAATCAGACTAAAATAGGGGAAGCAAGATTATGGGTGGTGAAAGTACTCCTGCAATTACATGTATAACTATGATTTCAGAGTTATGGAATTGTTAATGTTCTAATTGAAAATCTAAAACTAACTTTCACTTTCTTTAATAGCATACAGGTAAAGTACATGTAGGCCATTTTTCTTTAAACTTCAGGGATGTTATCAATCACATTGTCAGACAACTAGATACAATATATATATTTATTATCTATAAAAGGCTTCCAAGTGGTACAATAAATCAGTGTATTCAATATCTTTAGCGCAGTACCCTGAGGACTGACCAATATTGTTTTCATATTGCTCAGTCATCCAGGAACTTCAACTATCGATATCGATATCATGATGATTGATATCACACAAAAATAAAGCAATATTTACTGAGGTAAGTCAAATTTTGTTATTTCACTAGTCAGACTAATATAGATAATATTAAGAATATTGTATGGCTTTGTTTTTGTATGATACAAAATAGATATTGCTCTCTAAGACAATATTAGACTTACAAGCAGCATCTAATATTAGACTTGTCTTTGACTCGTCCAATACTGTCGTAGCTCAAGCAATATATTCTTGTATCACACTCAAAGCCATCCAATATTATATAAATATTCAATTCATGTTTTTGATTGCCGTGTTATAATGTTACATAATACATAGTGCCTTTTAAAATGCTAATTCAATCCCCAATATCAATGATTACTGACACAAACTCTTCATAATATGTTGCCACCTGAAATGACTGTAATGGAGAACAAAAATCAAACTTACCTGGATCTTCCACTGCTGAGGACTCGCCATTTTGTAAAATCCTTGTTTCTGACAAATTCTATCTGAGATTGATACAACTTTTAAAATTGAACAGTGGAGTTGAAAGGTCTCTTTAACAGAAAGCGGAAAGTCAAGTTGGTATTTCAATAAGTCTTCAGTTGGCAAAGTGCTGTTTTTCTAAAGTTCAAGTGTAACGTTAGTTGACTCGACTTGCAGATCTTAGTATTCAAGGTGCTGTGTTGAGCTGGGTTGAGGTGACGGATAGAAGACTTTTCAGCAAGTATTGCATCTCATGGGGTAGCTTGAATGAAGATAGGGAACTGTCAAAAGAAGAAAAAGAGAAGAGCCTCATCATCATGAGTTCGTGGAAAATCCTGAACAAAATGAATAATTATGACCGGGTATGATTATGACAGCACTATTTTCAAATTTAACAAGTAATCAAATATTACATTCCAACAAACTCTAACCTCTTTCGATAGTTTGCCATGTTAGTTCTGCCTGAAATGCAATACACACGGTGTACGCCAAAAAAATGTGATCCCATTGCCAATTTGTTACTTACTTTATGATAATAGTAAGGCTGCGACGAGAAGTCGAATACTCGAGTACTCGCACTGTTGACAACTACTCAAGTACAATTTTCTCGTACTGGAATAGTCAGCCGCCATTTTTTCTTCTTTTTTTTGCCCGCGCCTGGCACTGTCCAGGCCGACACTTACCCATGCCAGGGAGAGCGCCGGCCGCCGGCATGGTACCATGGGTTAAAAAATGTTTCCCAGCTCAATCACTGTCAACTCACCACTCAGAAACTGGGACCAAATGTCCTTATATTTGTTTGGACTCGGAAGAAAATGAATTATCTGTCATCTTTCGTTTTAAAAACTGCATTGTTTACTACATGTATTATTATTATTATTAAATCGGCGCCTTCAATTGCAATTGTTTTTAGAGATGGACCTGGGATACTTCATCCGTAGTATGGTGGTGGCAACAACAACAAAACAACAAAAACAAATTAATTAAAAGAATTATAAGAAAAAACATAGTGTCCGAGTATTCAAGTATTGGCCTGTAAGCCTGGGAGTGTACTCGAGTACCTCATTATACGGTTATGCACAGCCTTAGATAATAGTGGTTAGTTTAGTAGAATAAGGCACACAAGTGAAGTTTACAAAGTTCACTGCACTCATGACTTTTTACACAAATCGTTATTATCGTAATGCAAGTATCAAATTGGCAACGCAAAACACCTAGGACAAGTACCCCCTCCGACAACTACCCCCCGAACAACTACCCCTCAGACAACAATCCCCTGGGATAGTTGTCCGGGGGTAGTCGTTCTAGAGGATGGTTGTAATAGGGGTAGTTTTCTGGGGGGTATTTGTACGGGGGGTAGTTGTCCTGTGGGGTAGTTGTCTGGGGGGTATTTGTCCCGGGGTAGTGGTCCTGGGGGTAGTTGTCCTAGGGGGTAGTTGACTGGGGGTGGTAATCCGGGGGTGGATTTCCAGGGGTAGGTGTCCGGATATGTTAAATCGCATATTACGTCGTTAGCTCATTATCATAAGGAACATGTAGAAGGTAAGCAAATCATTATCACTACTGTATCAAATTTTCCAATTTTTGGTTGAATTCTTGACTGATTTGAAAGTGCTTTTTATAAGAAGAAAGAAGAGTCAATATACTCAGTCGAACTCTGAAGCCAGTGTGCACGGTTTGTCGGGTACGGGAAGATTTGATTACTAACATATATATTTGGTTTTATTTACAGTACTCTTCACGCAGGGGTACGGGTGCCAATTAAGGATACATGAAGGTGATATCAATATAATATTATTATGATCACCCATGACGGAAGGTTTTGCTCTCAAAGCAAACTTTTTCAAGAAAACGGGCAGATTAGCTGAAAATAAGTCGCTATATTTTGATGTTTTACAATGGTTTTGGATGGTATTTTGATGGTATATGAATATTAGATCTATTTTCTTTCGAATCATTTTTTTAAAGACCAAAGTGTTAAGTCTTGCTAAAGTAAAACAGGGAAGAGGTTTTCACCATATTTTCGGCAAAAACTGATATTATTCTCCCCCCTTAAAACCAAGGATTCCGTCTGTATACAGTAGGGCGCTGGTCCGAGATAAAGATTGTCTGCATAAACGAGGATCCTCTTCGTAAACGCGGACCGATGCGTCTTCAAAAATAAGGATAGTCCGTATTTTCGCAGACGTTCCATATTTTCGATCAGCACCTCGGACAACCCATAAAAGTAGACGTTGAACTTATGCCGAATCCATTTTTTGCATCGCCAGTGGGCGATTTGGTAACCCGAAACCCGCAGAGCGCCGATGGTGGGTTGCGGGCAGGTGCGCTCCTGTGTGAAGTTATCTACCGTAATGAGGATCTGAGATATTACGGTAGATAACTTCACACAAGCGTATGCACTTGTATTGTGCAGCGGTTCGCTGTGAAACCTGTGAAAAAGTGTATACTATATCAATGTTTATTCGAAAAATACTCTAAAAATAACAAGAAACTTTACACGAAACAGGTAATAAACATAACGACTTTTAACTCATGATCTTTAAGTTTATTTGGACATTTAATGATATTTACTTCATTTTGGGTATGTTTTAGTAGGGTATCTCCACGCCGGAGTTACGGGTCAAATTTTGGATAGGCTTCTGAACAAGCGCCCTTATTTTTGAGGACGCATTTTGTCCGCGTTTATGAGGATGATCCTCATTCTCATTCTCAGACCAGCGCCCCTATTGATATGGGGAAGGTTGATAAATGTAAGTTTTATAAAAGAATTCCCCATGCCAAACAGTTATTTCTGTCTACCCATGTCATGGCCAAGGCCAAGCAAACACAGTCACACTAATTACTCACAGGCAGTCATCATTACTGAGTCATTCTCACATGTAACATACACAGTCCACATTGTGCTATGCAAGCTCTCTTTCATTCATTCATTGACTGTAGGCAGAGCAAGTGCCGTCGACTCTTTGTTCGAGAGGTGAATAAAACATCATAAACTGACGAATGATTGATTACATGTGAGATATTTGAGATCATATCAATAGCTTCGATATAAAAATCACTCAAAATGCAATTCTTTATGTAAAAAAGACATTTACCAAATAAAAAGAAGATATAGAAATTCTCACCTCAACACCGCACAACAGCACTTCTGCCCTCCGCCATAGTTTCACAAGCAACTTACTAAGTACGCGCGCGCGGCCTGAATCAGTGCGCTGCGCGCGCGCTAGTTGGAAAAAGCTTGAAGAAGAAAAATAGACCTTTACATTAGAGGAAAAAGCAGAAACAGAAACACAGTTCTTGTTCTTGGTTCCAGTGGCGGATCCAGGGGGGGGGGCCCCGGGGGGCCCGGGCCCCCCCCCCCCCCTTGAGAAAAAAAATCATGTAAAATCACGTGATTTTTACCTTTTTTGGGGGTTGGGGCCCCCCCCCCTGGCGCTCAAGGGGGGGGTGCAAATTGAAAAAATTTGAGGATCAAAAAAAAAAATGCGATCACTACCCCCCCCCCCCCCCCCCCCCCCCCCCCCCCCCCCCCCCCCCACTGAGCGAATTTTTGGCCGGCGCGTTTTTCAAATTTTCGGGAGCAAAAAAAAAAAAAAAAAAAAAAAAAAAATTGAGGGTCAAAAAAAAAAAAAATTTGCTCACTACCCCCCCCCCCCCCCACTGAGCGACTTTTCGGCCGGCGCGATTTTCAAATTTTCGGGAGCCAAAAAAAAAAAAAGTTGGGCCCCCTCCCCTAAGAAATCCTGGATCCGCGCCTGCTTGGTTCTTGGTTGGTTGGTTGGTCCTCCAAAATACTCGTCTGAGTTTTAACTGGAGGTTATTACGTTGAAGCTGGAAACAGCACAAAACAAATAAATTAAAGCAAACAGACCGTCAACGAAAATAGATCTTGACCCCCGAATTATAACAATGTAATAAATAAACAAAAAGGAAAAACCTTACTGAAAGAAAGCATTTTTTTTCGGGGAGGATGGGGGAGGATGATGGTAGTTGGTGAGAGTAGGTTGGGGTCATCGTTGAGCAACAAGGTCGATTGTCTATTTAAGTGTAATGTTCAGCTCTTATGAATATGAAATTGCATTTTTGAATAGTCAAGATTTTCGCTCAGGCAAAATAGTGAGCCTGTTCCCCCATAACTATTATTTCTCTCTCTCCTCGGGTTTTATAATGAAGACAATTAATAACAGTGACGGATTCAGGGGGCACAGGGGAGCATGCACTGCCCCTCCCCCCCGGTAAATAAAGGGGGAAGGGGAAAGAGAAAGGGTGAAAAGGATAATAGGAGGGGAAAATAGAAAAGGGAAGAGAGAAAGAAGAAGAAATTAGGTAGGAGAGAAAAGGGGAGGGGAGAAAAGGAGGAAACGAAGAAAGGGGAAGAGAGAGGAGAGAAAAGGCGTAAAAGGAGAATAATGAAAAGCCAGCCTGGAAAAAAAAAGAAGGGGATGAGTAAAGTATTATCGGGAAAGGGGCGGGAGCACGTAAGTTTGCAGTGTGCATTATATGGGGACCCTCTTGCTAGGCGTGTAGCCCCCCCCCCAAAAAAAAAGCACAAGAAGAACACAAAAGAAGAGATGGAAAGGGGGGGGAGAATTTGTTGTGAATTAAAGAAGAAAGGAGGGAAATGAAAGATAATTAAACAACGATAGAAGAGAGGTACCAGAGCATAAGGAATTGCATCTGTTTTAAAATAATAATGGGATAACATCCAGGGTCGTCGCTAAAGAAGGTCGTGGGGGGGGGGGAGGTCTTGCACCCCCCCCCCCAACGAACTGTGACTTTTTTATCGGAAATAAGAAACACTTTTTTATAAATTCAGACAATGATTAAGAGTCGGTACAACGAATCGTCTTCTTTCTCTATATTTAATGAAACGTCATAACTTCTGCGCTTCACGTGGGAGGGCGAAACAAGAAGTAAGAGTCGGGAACGGTACAGCGAATCGTCTTCTTTTTCTAATAATTTAATAAAGTGTCAAAGCTTTCGCGCTTCGCACGGGAGGGGAAAAACAGAAAAATAAATTAGTTCCTGGCCCCGGGTTTATAGGGTTAAATGTGTAGACATTGATCTTGGCATGTATATATTTGTCGGTAATTATAGCTAGTTTTTTCGGTAAATTGGTGGCCTCTATATACTCTACACCCCCCCCCCCCTTCCTTACACCGAAAAAGGTCTAACGACGCCCCTGATAACAAAACAGTTTATACTTTTATGCAAGTACTACCGGTGAAGTACCAGACCAACGTCTCTGTGCATTTTGCAGCAACGAAGCATAATTATACAACGTCTCGTGACGTGACAGATCACTTTTCTCTTATAAGTATACTTCTAACCAATCAGAAGTTTTTTTCCAGGAAGTGCCGGTGAACATTAATGCTCCAAAAAATCTCAAATTGCAAAAGATCCCTACTCTTGGAGGTAGGAGAAAGCAATTTTACGTCATATTACTCCAGGAAGTGCCTGAAAGTTGCAAACCTATTCGTGAAATATAATACGAAAATGGAGAAGAGAAGTTTGACATTAACTATGGAAAAAACAGAGAATTATAACAGGGGGAGAGCAAACGGACTTGATTTACAAACATTTCAAACAATCAAAAACTTTTTTGTTAATGCAGGATGTGCACCACCACTATCATATCAACTATATTATGTCGCGACCGTTGCATGGCACACCAATCACGTTTGTAAACAAGGTTAAAGAGGTCATGTTTACGACTGCGACTTGACCTGTCCATTTAACCCTGAAGATTGTGACTCTATATAGAGGAGGATCGAGAGCAATCGAAACAGTGGGGAAGGGGACTTTGTCCCTGGAACCTTGCCAAAACCCTAATTCCCCTCACGCATATAACATAATCACCCTCCCCCCCCCCCCTTTCCTCCGCGTTTACTGTCTCTCCCAATATTTGCATGAGAAAATCATTTATCAAGAATCAGCACAATAAAGAAGATGTACGTTTTACATCACGCAAAATGTAAAGCTTTCATGATTGTAGACCGCCCCAACACACAATGAAAACAAGAGTAAACAAAAAGAAAGGGATTGAAAACTTCACAAGAACCATCACACTGGCATGTACAAAATATGATCAATTTATTGGGATGAAAGTCCCCCGTTTTTGGATTTGCACTCATGATTGGCAAAGCACAAGGGGTAGTATACATTCAAATGAAATGACGATTTATAGCTATGTAATTAGGCGATGCTTAAGGAACATGACTGTTTTCGTTGACTAGACTGTATGCACCCCTTTCCTCTGCAACCCCACCCCTTTATCCTAGCAGAAGGGCGACTTGACCTAGCTTCCACCTCAATCCAACCCTCCAACAGCCGCTCACCAAGTCCAGAATCTGGCCAATTTTTTTTAAATAAAAAATCTTAGGCTGAGCCACTGACTCTAGTTCAGTAGGCTGGGCGTACACGAGTTCGTTGATAACTCCATCTACGGTGACTTGGCAAACTATGAGTTTGATTTGACTGAAGTTCAAGCCAAGGACAATCCACAGCTAGCTTATATTATTTTTTGTTTGGACTGGCATGTACATAATAATTTTGACAAGGTTAACTCGCCGGATGTCGGTTGCGCCACTTTGTGATTCCAAGAGCCAAATTTTCCCGTGCGGAATTTCAATATTGCTTTTTCAGCACAATTAATATTTTCAATAAAAGTGGGATCCTGACATTTTTTACCAAGCTAGAATCGTTCGTAGTGGAAATACATCAAATCGTATCCAAAGCAAGTTTGTGAACTGAGTCTTTGGAACGGACTTTGATAGAAGGCTGCAGCGCAATTATTAGTACTGTATTAATTTGTAGGCTCTTTGATCCGTGACTCACTTTCCACTGTACTTCAGAAAACATCCATTGTATCAGATTTATTATTCATAATCATGGATTCGAACACTTCAATGAATTCCTCATCGACTCTGGATACGCAGCCCTTTACGGCCGTCGACTATGTGGTCTTCCTTGGTATAATGTTAGCTTCGATCATCACGGGACTCTATCACGCTTTCGCCGGGGGAGGACAGAAAACAACTTCGAGGTGAGCCAAACGAAGGGATTCAACGTAAAAGTACCATGTCTAATGATAGCCTTTCTCTCTTTTCCATCCACTTTATACATGCAATTATTGCTTTAAAAGAGGATGCAACTAGTATGATACAATAGCATGGTGTTTGATGATAACTAATTTTAATGCTGATTTTTGCTTGAAACGTTCTCTCTCTCTTTTTCTATCTTTCAAAACTTTGAAAAGCAATTCACCATGGCACAATAGGCATATTTGAAAAAGTTAAACATCTTATTAATGCTTAAAGATACTATGTCCCTTTTGCAACCGACATCAAATTCTGTAAAACTCTGCAGGAATTATGAATATGTCATTGTCGTGTAATTATCTGTGAAATTTAAACATTAGCAGTGTCCTATTCAAATTATGCAAGGAAACCCGTTTACCTTCTAGATCACTGTCAGAGACTATTGAGTGACTGACCGACATCTTTTTTTTTTCTTTGGTATAATAACATACATAAAATGAGCTCTATACATGTACATGAACAATTTTGTCTACATCATAACTTACTATTGCAATCACTTAAGTCGATTCGACAACATTACTAATGGTCGTTATTTTCCTATACTTAAAGACGTTTTCAAGCCCTTTCGGTTTGAGGGAAGTTCTGAATTAGCATTGTCTTTCAAATACGTACGTTGGAAATTAATCTTTTCATTTTGTTTGGCCTGCAAATGGGACATAACCTTTAAAATGTCGATACAATAAACTTAACGAGCTCCCTGATTATCGTCTACTTTTGCTAGAATTGAAATATTTAACGTTATATTGGTGGACCAATTATTGAATAAGTAAGCATGCGGGAAGTAGAGCAGTAATTAAGTCGATGAAATTTACCAGAGTACGAAGCTCGGAATACAAATGAAAAGAAAACTGTGGCATAATAATATTGTTTTATAATTATACATGTATAAATACAGATACCTTGCCTTAATCAGCGACCACATGTATTGAAAGACCGATTGGTTGTAGAAAGTTTTTTTCTTCTCTCTCGTGCAGTATTTATTTTATACATTGGATTGGAATGTGCATCAAACTAAAGGAACCTGTACACAACGGCTACCTGCCTATTATATACAAAAGACCTCTTTTCTATTCTTCAAACTTTGAGTGGTCTCTACGTATACGTTTTATGTGATTATCAATCAAGCATGATGTAACCATTTTTACTTATACATTTTTTTTGTTACATCTTTACCACGCAAGTTACCTGCTCGCTGATCGTAGCATGAACAGTTTACCCATTGCCTTGTCGACCGTCGTTTCGTTTCTGTCCGCCATCACTCTCCTCGGTATCCCTGCCGAGATCTACACCCATGGTGTCCAGTACTGGTGGACTAGTTTTTCCTGCCTCATCATGATGTCTTTAACGGCCATCATTTTCATTCCTGTCTACTACGGGCTTGGTCTAACAACTGCGTATGAAGTGAGTATCATGAAACCAACATCATAACAACCGCAAGAAAGTCTAACTTCGAGGACAATAATTTACACTCAAACAGCTACCCCAAAAACAACATCTAGGACAATAATGCCCACCTTGCATCAGCAATGATTATGATATATACTGCTATAATAATTATAGGGGGTAGTTTCAAATGTCTGCTTTGTGTCGTTGAACAGGTTTAGTTGTCCGGGTTAGTTGTCCAGCGAAAACTGTCCCAGGAAAGTATAAGTGGCCTAGAAAGTAGCTGTTCGATGGTTATTGTATTGGGGTTGTTGTCAGAGTGGGTACTTGTCTGGGGGAGTTGTCCCAAGTGTAGTTTTCTGGGGATACAGTTAGTGGAGTTAGTTAATCCAGGATTTTGTTGTCATAGAATTCAATCGAACATTATTGTGTCAATGTTTTTACTTCTAACAGGCTTTTAAGCGCATGGTCAAGTTTTGATTGATAAGATATTGTGGATTTTTAAATATTAAAACACAACTTGTAAAATCACAAGAAATCTTAACGTTCTTACAGAATAATTCCAAGGATAATCTAATACCGCGTATATTCTGATTTGCTTTATATAGACATGCCCTATTTGCATTCTTATTCATAATAGTATAACAATTAAGTTCTTTTTCATCTTATTTCAAATATTTTTATCATGATACCCCTTCATCCACGCTAGAATCTTAATGGTGTTCAAGTTTTTAATTCATTTGCTTATTTATCCCAATTTACGAAAGTCGGGAAGGAGCTTACTTGTTTTTTTTGTTTTGTTTTTTTAAATACCCGACACTCCTTGACACAAGAGAGGTCCAGGGATGAGCGAGCAGACCGTTAGCTAGTGTATGGGAGTGTGAATGGAGTGTGTATAAGAGTGTAAATGGGAGTGTTTATGAGAGTGTCCAAGGTACAGGAGTGAGAATAGGAGCGTGTATAGGAATGAGAGCGTGTATTGAAGAGCAAAGGGCCTGCTTGCTCATCCTTTGACCTACTCTTGTGTCACCTCACAAAATATATTTTAAACGTGAATTAATTTGCCTGTTATTGCCTTAGTCATATTAGTTACGAACTTTGTTATGAATTTTGTTATATACTGTATATTATACTTTGTGACAATGTCAACCACATTTGTATGTATTATAATTCATTGCCAATGTAAATTGTTCATAATTCAGCCATCTGGCTGCGAAGTGCAATCAATAAAACCTTTTCAATTTCAATTTCAATTTCAATTTCAATTTCAATTTCAATTTCAATTTCAATTTCAATTTCAATTTCAATTTCAATTTCAATTAGGGATTTAACTACATGAGAGGGGTGCAAAATCTATTTCTTTCCAGTTTCCAACACCACACATCCATGAACGACACCATTGGTCTGTATACTTTAAGCGATATAATATACAAAATTAATATTGACTGCTCATGAAGATGATGGTAGGAATTATCACTCCCAAGGTGGTGTTCATACCAGCCCTTCTATCACCCCCGAGGCGAAGCCGAGGGGTGATAGAAGGGCCGGTATGAACACAACCGAGGGAGTGATAATTTACCCCACCATCCAATTACAGAGCAGTCCACATTTGTTTTTTTTAACACTTTCTAACACTTTAGAGATGGAAGACAGGAGAGATATGGGCCTGTAATTACATAAATCTTAAGGGGTCACCCTTTTTAAAAAACAGAACAACTTTTGCCAGTTTCATGACGTCGGGAACCGCACCCTGGGACATGGAAAGAATAAAATGTGTTCTAGGGAACAACTATTTCGTGTATAATATTTTTCAACAAAAGTTACTGACTTCATCATGACCCGCACTTTTCTTTTCTTTGAAATTTTTAACAAGTTTTAGAGTTTCAGATGAGTTGGTTGGACTAAAAAATATAGAATTCTGATTTTTGTTCTTCAAAAAAGAATGAAAGGGGTTTTCGACTACAGGAATTTTTTTGGCAAGATTGGGTCCAATGTTTGAGAAGTAATCATTAAAGTGATTAGCAATAGATTCTTCATCATTGATGGTCTTATTACCCGCTCGGATTTTTTTTCCCACTTTTTTTGTTCAATGCCTTATTAATAACTCCCCATGTTTCCTTTATGTTGGATTTCTTTTGTTCAAACTGGATACAATAATATCTCTGTTTCTCTAATCGCATAATCTTTGTCGATGTGTTTTTATATTTAACATATTTTTCACGAAGTTTTGGTTTGGGATTCGCACGAAATTTATAATACAAGTTTTTTTTCTTCCTATTAATTGATCTTAATAGAGATTAGGGTTACGTGGTTAATGTCTATAACTAAAAAATTTGCATCTCTCTAGAGGAATACATTCATCAAGAGCTATTTTTAGAACGTGGGTAAATTGTTGTAAGACACAGTTACATCAGTATGAGCCAAACTTCTGCCCAATCAATCGATCCCATGCACCTTTCCCTTTAATTTATCAATTTTGGAGGCTGTAAATTTCCTTACTATTTTTGAGGGGTAGGTGATTTAGTAAGATTAAATAAACTTTGAAATTTGCAATAAACTGGACAGTGATCTGATATGTCAGACAGTATGATGCCAGATTCAGTATGTAAATGATCAACATTTACAAATATATTATCGATGAGAGTACACGAGAGTGGATAACCGCGTGGGTTTTTGATATTACTGGAACAAAGAATACGAAAGCAATGTTTTCAGAAAATCATGAGAGAACTGATTATCATTACATTTTAACCAAATAACCACTTGACCAAGCAACGAGTTTTTTGTCAGTTAACCGATGGTGGCGATAAATACGTAATTATTTGGTCTTGTAAGCACCTTTATTGATTGGTTTCACAGGTTATCCAAAGTTGATGGTAGTAATCACGTTACTTACACCGGCTAAACGTCTTATTGTTCTGTCCGTGAATCTCTGGTTATATTCAACTAGTAATTCTGAGGTGTCTTACACACCTCTTTAAAAGGTTTCAAAGTTACCATAAATTTCTTGGTTATGATCACGTCGCTCAAGCTGATTACTAATCTAAGCTGTGAAAACGTGATATGTAGGTGTGAAAATTAGTAATTATTAAGTGTTTTAAAACACCTTTTTAAATGGTAGTCAACGTTGCCATAAGTTCCGCGGTGATGATCTCGTGACTCAAACGGATTATTGATCTAAGCTGGTCATACGTGACTTTTAGGTGTGAAAAATTAGTCATTATTAGGTGTCTTAAAACACCTATTTAAATGGTTTCAAAGTTACCATGACTTTCTTGGTGATGATCACGTAGTTAAAACTGATTACCAATCTAAGCTGTGAATCCGTGATATTTAGGTGTGAAAAATTAGTAATTATTAGGTGTCTTAAAACACCTATTTAAATGGTAGTCAAAGTTGCCAGCAGTTCCGCGGTGATGATCTCGTGACTCAAACGGAATATTAATCTAAGCAGGGCATACGTGGCTTTTAGGTGTGAAAAATTAGTCATTATTAGGTGTCTTAAAACACCTATTTAAATGGAAGTCAAAGTTGCCATAAGTTCCGCGGTGATGATCTCGTGACTCGTGACAGATCTATGTGTTTTAAACAATTTATCTGAATTTACAGCATATTTCTTAATTACTGATGATTTAGTTATTTGCAATTCATTTCGAAAATACTACAAATATAAATTACCAGTTATTAGGACATTTCGCTACTTCGTATAAATTACATTTAGTTAAACATGAATAAGGGAAACATTAACTGTGAACTAAAATAATTTCAATAAAGTACAAGTATACGAAATTTTTTCGAATAATTCAATTATGTAAGTCTATTTATTACCAATGCCCTTACATTGGAAATACAGACGTACCAGTATTGAAGTATTGTTGCTGTTCAACTGGTTGGAAGTTTTACCAAATGGTTCTAATGGCTCAGCTAGACCAGTTGAATTATAACTGGCCTGGATCAACTGGATCATTTAGCCCATTTCAATTTCCAGGGTTACCAGTTGGCATTAAATGGTTCATCAACTGGACCAGTTGCAACTAGCTTTCTCTTCTAGGATGTTTGCACCCACCCCCCCCCCCCCCCCCCCCCCCACCCAACCCCCTCTAATCCCAAACTGCTTCCGGCGCGCCTGGAGGTAATTATGAAAGATCCAAGACACGATGTTCAGAAACGGGATGAGAACGTCATTATTTTGGTTCATTTATTGTGTAACATTTGCGTAATTATTGGGTTGAACGCGGGTTACAGTAACATCCTTCCTCTTCGACGTAAATTTCACGTGAATGAAGAACATGATTCATCTCAAGTCAGCCTCGTAATATTCACGTGAATTTCACGCAGATATTTTGACTAAAACTATCACTAACGCTTCACGTGTTTCTGTGACGCGATAATTTTGTGTATGAAGATGTAATTTCATAACCAACAAACACGGGAGTATTAGGTTTACAAACCATGGTCTCCAAGGTAGGGATAATCACGTTATTATAATGGTGATATTGCAGTGACAATTGCGTGATTTAGTGTACGTGTGTTTTAGGTTACTTAATGCAATAAACGTATTAACACATTTACGTAAATGTCCGGTGTTTGAAGAACGTAACTCTCCTCAAGACGATACCTTGATATTGACGTGATTTTCACGTGATTTTGTTTATTGGGAAATGCTGCATTTCAACCAAGAATTCGTTGTGATTTGAAGAAGGGGGCGATAAATAGTACCAACTACGATATTTTTCTTGTTTTGTAAAACTATTTGAGAAAGACCACTTCCATTGTCAGATTCATTGTGTTTATATCCGAAAGAACTTTAACATTCAGATGATCTGGAACATACATTGCAACGCCCCCACCTCTTTTATTCGTACGGTTATTAAATATGAGGTTAAATTCATGAATAGGTCTAGAAAATGAATCCAATATCAAGAGTCTATATGCTCAGCACTACCGAGGGAGTGACAATTTCCTCCACCATCCGATTACCCTTTAAAGTTCTATTGAAGAGACAGTTGGTCTCTTCTTATTTCCCTTAACTCTTTCTTTTTCTTGCAATGTACCATGCATGTGTGTGCGTGTGTGTGTGTGTGCGTGTGTGTATCTATAATGTGTAGTATATTATTTATATATTGTTATTATTGTCGTAACGTATTACAACCATGTAATCTCGTTATTTATTATTTATGTCAGGGGACTATTTTACTTACAAGTTTTTCAAACTTCCTTTTTAGTCTCCAATTTCTTAATTCCAATATTATAAGATTATGATTGTTTCATGTTACTTTTGTATATATATTATGTTATGGTTTTATGATTGAAATAAATGAACTGAACTGAAAAATTACAGAACAGTCCATATTAATTTGTTTGTATATACCTCATCCTTTTCATTGATTCATGAATAGGTCTAGACAATAAATCCAATATCAAGAGTATATGCTCATCGCATTCAGTACTATATTTACAGTCTTTTGAAGCTCAAAACAATTTCAAATATCCAACGCTAAAAGAAATCCAACATACGGAAATCCAATGTATACTATACATGACTTTTGTGTACAGGTAGTGCAATAAGGTTTATTACTGCGGCCCAGCGTAAATAGCATGGCTTAAGCGCGCATTCAAAAATATGAAAAGTTTGGAACATGATTATTTTTAGATTTATGTTTACAAGGAGAAAATAAATTTCTTTCTGAAACAATCTTAGTATTTGTGGTTTCATGTTTTGGAAATAGAGTAGTATGAATATGAAATGATGATCACGGTACTTGAATATGAGAATTGTGAAAGGGTGAAGTGGTACAAAGTAGTTTGAAAATAAATCAAGAGATTGAAATAAAAGGGAAACTAACACAAAAGATTTTTATATAATATATATATATATGAGAGCTTCATCCTATAAAGAATTACGAATGATTCAAATTGATTGCAACTTCATATCAATCGCAATTGTGAAGTAATTTTATGGTTGACTGGAGGACTTTTAATCAATACAGATCAATTGTAATTCTGTATAAGACAAGGCCCTAAGAAAATACAAAATATCTCCCTCCCTCGCATAATCTCAAAAGAGTAAAAGGGGTAGATTCTGAAAACTTGTATTTCATGTAAAGGAAAACGATGTTAATTGTCATCAATACTAATCATTTGTTCTTTTGGAGATGGCCCTTTAATTCTATGCAAACGCATCCAGCTTTTAGCAGAAACTAACTAAGGTTTAATTTATCCGACATATTCGCAAGTTGAATGGAATACATTCAAATTAAACAAACAAAACATTAAAAGTATCATCAGAATCGTAAGGAAATCCCCCCCCCCCCCACAAAAAAAAGGTAAATGTGATTGTGTCGCGCTTATTTTGCGCTAATTTTAGACCATGGTTCATGTAAATGAAGATTTAAACCATGGGTTAAATTTAAATCTACTTTGTGAATTCGGGCCTATGTGTTTGCTTTATGTTCAATAAAACGGAGTAATAATCCGATACTTTTGTCAATATTCCTTCTTTTCATTTAAACGGAAAAGAACAAGCTATAGAGGAGTAGGTCGTCATCTAATAAAAAATAATCGTAATGAAATGATGATCCTAGTAGAAAATATTTGTTCATTGTAGTAAGCAAATATTAATCGACTACGAGGGTAATGGTACAAACTATCATCGCCGAGATATCCCACATTGTATTTCAATTAAGCCAATAAAACTGGTAGAAATCCGAAAGAACGATGAACTTGTCAACACATAACATATCATACATGTCTACAGTGTATATGTACACTAGAGACCAACGAGGGATGGTAGTTTGTACTGTAAAAAGTACTATCACACCCCTAGCTTACAGCCATGAAGTGATGGTAAATCTATCATTGTTCATGTGACCTCGTTTAGACCAATCAGATTGCAAGATTCTTAGTAGGCCTATATGCGGGATATATACCTTTAGGCATTCGGACATCATGAACAAACACTCAATAATTATACCCAAAGTTCATTTGCGATCAAACTTCCATGATCTGTGTCGACTGGATACATCACAATAACAGTCACATGAATAATAAGTATCATAATGAGTGCTTTTTATTTCCCTGCATTGTTTGTTGTAAGACTATACAGTATACTTTTATGACATTACAAAAGATATAATTGAGAATTAACAACTCGTGCTGGTATATATCAATATAATAAATTTTCAATGAGGGGTTGAGGCTCCGAATGTGAACAGCTATTGCCTTCAAACTTTAAGGAATGAAACGATGTAATTCTGAATTAAACTCAAGTACGAATAAATATTTTTAGAAACAAGAGTGAAATTGATTGAAATCATATTGAAATGATGTTTTCTTTCAGTACCTCCATCTCCGGTTCGGTATGACAGTACGAATTGCTGGGACCATCTTGTTCATATTGCAGACAGAGGTTTACATGGCTATAGTAATATACGCCCCTTCATTAGCAATTCAAGCAGGTAAAATTAATATTAGTATTTTTTGGAAGAGGGGGTGGATTGTGGAGATAATGGGGAGAAGGAGGAATGGGGGGGGGTGAGGTATCAATACTTTGGTGAAGTTATACGACGATAACTTTTACACAATGCACGTACCAGTACCACCAGTTTAAGATATTATATGGCAATTACTCGAAGACAACAAATAGCCCATTTTTGTTTATTAAACAAACATATGAGTATTGATTTCCTTGAAGCCTTTCTCTCGTTTTTAAGTTTATCCCTGTTAACCGAACTTGATTCGTAAACATTTCGAAGAATTTCATGAATGTTAGACCGACATTAACACACCACTTTGAAATTTCGTCCGATACTCTGAAGGCATCGTTACCAATAGACCGGTTACTAACATAATTATTCAAATTTGGATCGACCGAGGCTAAACCATGCACCTATAGGACCAAAAGGAGTGAGTCTATAAAGTTTTGTGAATTTTATGACCAACAGTGTATATATATATATATATATATATATATATATATATATATATATATATATTACTTGTTGCTATGTCGGACAAGCCTACGAAAAGCTTTAGGGTTTGCAACAACCTTTGTTTCATAAGTATGCATAACATTTGAAAATGTTAGTAAATCGGTCGACAAACCTCCTTTGTGAATTCAGGCCAGAATGATTGTATTTGCCATCTGTTTTCAGTGACTGACCTGCCGGTTTATGCAACCATCCTTCTAAGTGGAGCTGTATGTATCATCTACACAGCATTGGTAAGGTCAATTCTAGTCCTGACTTCTTTCTTCTAGACTCTCAAATTTTAAATGCATGTTACCTTGACATTCTGTGGAGATTATCCTTTTATCATAAACCCTTTTATCGTGTACGCGCCGTAACGGTGCCGTACTTTGGAAACGCAATCCAATAATGTATCCCATTCTTGCGCCTGTTAGGGTTTTAGGCTGTGTGGCAGTATATACTGGTGTAATTTTGATTTGATTTGATTTGACTTTATTTCTGCATTTTTCCAAATACAATAACTTAATAACAAAGAACACATAAACGTATAAGGTATAATACAAAATATACAAACAATAATAACTTCATGTCAAAATGTTATTTACATTTGTACATAACGAACTTAATATTTCTATAATATATTAATATAAATTTAAAGTATTATCCGAATTATCTGTGAAAAAAGTGCAGGAGACCGCAATCGTAAACGATGCTTGACTATGCTTGACTAGGATTGCGGCCTCAAAAGAAAATCTTAAGGTGAAATTTGAAACGAAAATAGCTTGGCTGTAATGTATTGAAATGATGTTGACATTGTGCTTCATTGCTGACAGTGGGATATTATGTAGAAATATATGTGGTAGCAGAGAGGCCGAACGTTATAAAGAAGAATTAAATTACTGCCCGATACAAAATGACGTCAACGCTGTCTCGAAAGAAAAGAAGAAAAAAGGCAAGAAAATGAAAACAAGAAAAAGAAGAAAAGAAAAGCAGGAGACATGCAAAGAAGTAGGAGGAAGAAAAGAATTTCAACAAAAAAACAACCACACCGTTACAATACACACTTCACAGATCAGCCTGAATCTTTAAGAGAAAATGTCTTAATGAAACTACACGTATTTTTGAAAGCCCTGTTGTTTTTCAAGACCATGATTAAAAATAGCTTAATCTCCATTTACGGAGAACTCCCTGAAACACTTTTACCAATATAGGGTGGAATCAAGGGTGTCATTTGGGCTGACGTTCTCCAGTTCCTCGTCCTCTTCGTTTCTTTCGTCCTCGTTGTCGTCCTCGGATGCATCCGTGCTGGAGGAATTGACTACGTCTGGGAGTACAATAAACAAAATGATCACCTGAACTTCTTGTGGTAAGTATCTAGGCCTGCATAGGGTTCTACGACACACGCTCAAGTTGCAATTGCTCCGAGTCCGCGGTCGATTTCCTAACTTAACCAAAATTATTTATACACTTACCAAGTTTTGTAATTTTATTAAGCATGTGAACAAATTGATTTGTTACGATTTGTGTTTCTTGAGAATGTGACATGTAAAAGTAATTTAAAAAGGTCTTTATTTTAATTACAGAGCACCAGGAGTGTCAAGTCTGATAGACAAGGGCGCTATTATAAGAACACACTATTATTATGTTAATTATTATTTATTATACCAGTCCACCTTTGATTCTTGAGTTACGAAAAACAGAAAAACATCAAATTTATAATTATGAATAATTTAATTGTTGACTGTAATATATTGAATATCTCTTTTACCTTTCCCTCTACAGGTTTTCTCCTGATCCGACCGTACGTATCACTTTCTGGGTGCTACGATTGGGGCAGGATTCAGCGGACTGGCCCAATATGCCGTCGGTCAGATAGCAGTCCAACGTTTCCTCACTGCCAAGTCTGTCAGGCTTGCTCGCAGGTGAGAGTGGAAGGGTTAATTATCGGTGGTTAGTGTCACTACGGGGAGGGGAGGGGGGGGGGCGTTGTTTAATTCAATTTTTCAATTCAATGTATTTCTCCACAAATGCAAAACATAGGGAGATACATAAAATAAAATACATACATACAATAATAGAACATGTACATCATATATAAAACGACTCCGTTTGGAGCAATGTATGTTTTAAAAAGAAGAAAAAAATCAGCAAATGTGGAAGGGGTAGTCAAAAATCAAAAATGATTTGTCGAGGACTACCCCCAATAATACAAAAAAAATTATACAATTAAAACTTAAAAGTAAATATAAGGTAAAATGATGAGGTGGTACCAATAACGAGAAAGAAGAGGGAGAAAATATCAAAGACAGGGGGGGGGGTGCATCTACCTTTATGTGAATGTTGTAGGATTGATTACTTATAAGGAATAATCTTAACTTAGCCTTAAATGAATACAATGAAGAACAATTTTTGAAGTCAGGTGGATGATGACTCCATAACATAAGTCCATTGAAGGGTATCCGTTTTTTGTAAAAAAAAAAAAAAGTCTTAGCTATGGGTATATGGAAACTACTTGCATTTATTGTAGCACATGAATGAATAAAAGAGTTCAGTATAAAATGGCAATCAAAGACAGGTGGCAAGCTGCTATGTTTGTACTGTGTTCTATCACCTTTGAACTCCTTAATAGCCCCTTCACATACACGTATCTTACGAGTCCTCATGGATCGCCAACTCGTAGTCAATCGCAAGCATCCGTAAATAACTCGCTGATACCCCTAACTGCAATCACTGTTTCTGTCTGTAAACTTGCATTTGTCTCGTTTGAAATAGAAAATCTTTGTTGGCAATTTTCTTTTATAGGCAACTTTTATTGCCGCTCCTGAGCTTCGTCAGGCGCGGATCCATGGGGGGGGGGGGGCAACGAGCCCCCTGCCAAAAAAAGAAGTTGTTTAAAAGATGTTAACCACAAATTAACCTTTGTCTTTTTTTTCGTTTAAGGGGTAACAAATATTTGGGGGAAAAAATATATTTTTAGTGCTCACTACCCCCTCAATATTATTGAGCGAAATTAACTGTCTGCGCGGTTTTATAAATTTCCGCCCCGACATGATCCGCCACTGTGCTCCGTTGGATGAATATTGGTGGCATTGATTGTCACTTTACCATTAATGATAACTTCCATGTAAACCTTGATTTGATTGACTGTTGTGGGATGTTGACATGGTAGTGTTGGGATGCTTATAAAGGTAGTATTGGAAAAGGCAACGATCCCTTCGAGTATGGTGTTAACAGTGGCGGATCCAGGGGGGGCGGGGCCCGGGGGCCCGGCCCCCCCCCCCCCCCTTGAGAAAAAAATCATGTAAAATCACGCGATTTTTACCTTTTTGGGGGTTGGGCCCCCCCCTGGCGCTCAAGGGGGGGGGTGCAAATTTTAAAATTTTCGAGGACCAAAAAAAAAAAAAAAAATGTGCTCACTACCCCCCCCCCCCCCCCCCCCCCCCCCCCCCCCCCCCCCCCCACTGAGCGACTTTTCGGCCGGCGCGATTTTCAAATTTTCGGGAGCAAAAAATAAAAAAAAGGTGGGCCCCCTCCCCTAAGAAATCCTGGATCCGCGCCTGGGTGTTAATGATGGTTATTGACGTTACACTGTAGAGTTGCTGGAACTGGTGATGGTAATATTGGCAGTGATGAATGTCACAGCAGTTAGGGTGATTCCGGGGTTAAAAAATAGCGTGACGATGGTAATATTGGTGGTGACGAATGTCACAGCAGTTAGGGTGATTCCGGTGGTAAAAATAGGGTGACGATGGTAATACTGGCTGTTATGAATGTCACTGCAATTAGGGTTACTCCGGTGGTAAAAATCGGGTGACGATAGTTATATTGGCGGGGATAATATTGTTTATAGATGATAATAACTGATGGCGACGACGATGACGATGTGATATTGCTTGTAATGGCGACCCCAATACCAATAATTGGTGGTAATGATGACGATGAATATTTCGGTAATAGTAGTGACGATAGTAATGTAATGATGGTGAAGATGGTGACGACGGTGATAATTGTTGGTAATGACGATGACGATACAATAACTAGTGGTAATGAATGTGACGATGGTGGAAATTTGTGGTAACGATGGTGACTATGGAAATTATTGGGCTATTCCTATTAATGATTACGATAATGCCAATGATTGGTACAAAATGACGGTGATAACGGTCATATTGGTTGTGATAATGTTGAAGATGATAACAGTTGGTGGTGATGATGGTGACGATCGTATATATATTGATGGTAAAATGTATGCATAAGTGATATTAGTTTATCATTACAGTGTCGATTGTGGTTCTAGCTGTAATTACGGTGACGATTTTTCACCAGTGTATATTGCTATAGTTATGTTTTGTATAAAATACAAATAATACTAGAAGTTTGGGGATTGATGTCGCTCACTGAAGTTTCTGAAAGATCAGGACATAAATGGAGCTATCCCTATATCATCTCTGTTCTTACAGGTCACTATTGTATGGTATACCATGTTCCTGGTTCATGGTAACGTTGGTGTCACTCAGCGGCCTTGTCATATATGCTTACTACAACAGTAAGTATTAATACCTCATACCCCAGACACACCGTCGAGACCGATATCAAACCGAAAATAGACCGACCGATAAATCTACATTACCGCGAATGGCAAAGAATCTGTCGGTTTCGGATTCTGTTTGAAATCGTTTTGGTTGTGTGACAGAGGTATCTGTCATACTCGTCTGACCGACTCCAAACCGATCGGTAACCTACAACATCTTATTTTTCAATCTGTTTTTGATCTCATCGGTATGACGGCACTCAATCATTTATGCATAAAATAAGTGCTTTCAAATATCAGTAAACTCCATTCGTCTCAAAAATTGTTCTATGCAAATACCCGAGGATTAAAATACCCGAAGATAGAAACAGTGCTTATGTCGATGCTTATGTCCATATGACCAGAACATATACACCAAATGGAATAATGTAGAAAATAAGGCAGAAGGAAAAAAAAAAAAGAATACTTCAGCACTATTATTGGTTTCCGATCGTTTTTCAATTTTATTTGATATTTCATTTATTTCTCTTCGTGGTTCACTTTTCGTATGTAGCCTATTCGTTTATATTATGACAACATTATATTAAAACGGAATTATGGTTAATATATCAAAATGAATCTTAAAATCGGTACTTTCAAAATATCAGTAATGAGAGGCCGACTAAAACGTACCTCATCAATTTGTGTCAAAGTTATTCTAAGCAAAATGCCTGAGGATTTTAGAGACACTGCACTCATATTAATGTCTACTGCAGTGGCATGTTAAAAGGGCGCGTGATCAGAAAATATACTATAATTTAAAGGAATGTAGAGAATCATCTATAACGGAAAAAAGAAGAAGACATCACTGAACATAAAATGCTGATGCCTCTTGAGAGTTTGATTACACCATCAGGCTATTTCTGAACTTGAACAATATATGCCTTATATATTTATTTTCTTTTCTTTTGACTGACTTTTACTTATCCAATTATTTTAGATGACGAAAATGGGAGAGGTGAACCGAATTTCCCAAAGTCTGATCAGGTAATGGGCCCGACATGGATTATTTAGAATAACATTGTTTTACAATGTATGGCAGTATGGGTCGATAGTGATCATTTACTGGCGTACACAAAGATATATTGACGAAAATCAATGATAATGCATGATCTTTACTTTTTAAATCCTTCTAGTGGCATGACTAGTTCTTATGATTATGGTTAAAAATTAATGTTTGAGGGTTATATAAATACCTTTGAATTAAACATAATCCATCACCAGAGGCGGTGGAGCAGGGAGTGGGGGGGGGGGAGGAGCACAGCACCCTTCCCATTCTTATAAGTACCTCTTGCCACCTCTGATAAGTGCCCCCTTCACCGATGATAATTCTAATCTGAGAGGTGCTGATTTTATTTTAACAAGTGCCCTTTTCTTTTGTAAAAGTGCTTTTTCCCATTCTGATAAGTACCTTTTCCCATTCTGATAAGTGCCCCTTTTCATCTTTTCCCTTTGGATATGTGCCCCCTTTTTCTTTCACCGTAAAATGTGCTCCTAATTTAAAGCTACTAAGAGCAAATTTTTCTTTAATTTCACCCAAAGCTCTCTCGCATTTAAAGTTGATATGATTATGTTTCATAAATGAGATCTTTTCAGTCTTTCATGATAAGGTTGTGCTGAAAACCCCATCAGGATTGTTTGTATTTCTCTTTGCAAGATGTAATTGTTCACACTGCAACCCCACAAATCTTAAATTTTTGCTCACTCGCTTCGCTTGCTCGCAAATAAATATTCAGACATCACACCCAGCTGCACAATAATGATGCTTAAGTGGTATCTTGGACCATGTAAAGAGAGAAACAAACATTGAAATCATCCCTGATAATGTTATCACAATGTAGGGGTATATACCAATGTCTAAAAATTGTATATTTTCGCTTTAAGGTTTCGCTTTGTAGGTGCCCCTTTAAAAAAAAAAAAAACCCTTTCTTGTTGGTGCCCTCATCCCCACCCCCTTCCCTCCCCCACACTTTGAGAGACGCTCCGCCGATATATAATACTGAAACTATGGGCAACAATTGAGTAGGAAGACCAGTATGACGAAAGGGGATCTGAAAAAAGGGGAAGATACCCTGCTGTACATCGAGTGGATGGAGCGTTTTCGGTATGTATAAAACGTGATTAAGATAGAGGTCGCTGTTTGATCAGTCATCTGCCGCTAGAACTGGACACAATTTATCTAGAAAGTCAAGGATGAGTAAGTGTACGCTTTAATATTCGATTTTTTTTTCTTCCTTCAACAGATCTTGATATACTTTGTAAGTCAAGAGTTTGGAAAGATTCCGGGGATTCAAGGGCTCTTTATCGCAGCGCTGTATGCTGGAACGATTAGGTATAACAAACATTAAGACAGATGTTGTGGATATGTTTGGTTGCGCGTTATAAGATGAATATTATAAAGGAAAATATACGCATCGCGTATGCAATTACGATAGGATGAATTATTTGTCTCCTTATTTATAATACATAAGATTTGCTCATCTTCTTTTCGAAGCTGGAAAAAGAATTTTGTCTACACCTCTTTATTATCTTAATCTCTGTCTATCGCCATCTCTTTTTCTAATTGGTAATGCGTGCATGGGCATGTCTGTCTGTCTGTCTATCCTTCTCTCGAGTCTATCAAAGTTAACTGCTAATCATCACGATGGCATGTTCCAGAGACAGTTTTTCCAGGCCTTTACGAATTCCCGCCAAAACGCGCGAAAGCAATGCTTGCTACAAGCATCTCATTAAAGGTAGGCATACTATGCCCCATTTGCAGGGCAAAACAATGAAAAGGTTAAATTCCAACGACATTTTGAAAGACAATACTAACTTAGAACTTCCCTCAAAACGAAAGGGCTTGAAAATCTATCTATCTATCTATCTATCTTCATATCTGATCTGCACACATACGTTTGACAGCACGGTGACCTCGGGGTTAAATTCACTGGCTGCCGTGACCCTTGTCGACATCGTAAAACCATGGAGGAGGTGGAGGTCAAGACGTCGAGGGGAGGTCGTAGAGCCCGAAGAGACGGTAGAGCAAGATCATCGCGATACATGGTTCTCCAAAATATACAGTAAGGAATTGGGGAAGAAAGGGGAGAGAGAGAGAGAGAGAGATTAGTGAGAGAGAGAGAGAGAGAGAGAGATGGGGATGGTGGAGAGAAAGAGAAAGAGAGGGATATATATTAAGAGAAAGAGAGAGAGAGAGAGAGAGAGAGAGAGAGAGAGACAGAGACAGAAGGAGAGAAGCAGAATTTAGAAAGAGAAAGATACTGAAAATGTGAAAAGAAAACAAACATCGTATTTCAATATTGAATCGATATTTGATATCTCAAAATGCGCCCATCAAGTAATCCAGTAACTGTAAATCGTTTAATTTGTTACTACCGGTAAAATGTATTTATTTCCCCTTGATTCTTAGAGAATATTTGGACATTTTTCTTGATCATAATGATAAAATATAGAGAAGAAAGTTATCTATTCAATGTCTCTTTCTGTTTATTCTCTCATGTAGCCGTTGTCTACGGTTGTATTACGCTCGGCCTGGCTTTCGTCGCCACCAAGTTGGGGTCACTGATACAGATGTCAAACTCCGTATTGGGGCCAATCGGTGGACCAATTGTCGGTGTCTTCTCGGTCGGTATGCTCTACAAGAGAGCAAACTCAGGGTAAATCCGTAGTATTTAATTTCCTTTCTGTTTGACTTTTAAAAACGGGGTAGGATATTTTACACAACAATGGCCTGTTAGGCTGATGAAGGACAGCATAAAATCAGAAAGTGCTTATTAACGGTTTTTGATGTAAATACGATAATACAAAAGGACTTTGATTCTTTAACTTTGAGATGATTTTAGCATGTATATATTACATGATATTATGTTAGGAGGTTAAGGAAATGGTAAGGAACAAACAATGGAGGCTGTGATTATTTTGGTCTCATATACCGAATATCTTGAACTACTGAGAGTTTCTAAATTGGAAAAAATAAAAATCGTGCCGAAGGTGGTTTAATATTTACTCTGGTAACAACTGCTCCGTGCTCTATTTTGTCAAAATTATAACAGGTAAACACCAGGGCTGAAATTTGGTTTAGGTTAGATTTAATGTAAGAGTTGTGTATAATGTTTGGTCTGGTGTTGACTCCACAAGAATGAAGTCTATTAAGACCCTGTCCGATGAAAATACAACTTTATATCAGTTTCCCTTTCAGTATTGCACAAAAGCAAATTAAATCGACATTTCCCGCACCCCTCTAAATCACGAGACAACAAGGGGGAACACGGGCCAGTTACGATGATGACAGGATCTATAATAATTTGTCGCATGAGAAAGTGTTGTACAACCTTATTACCACTACAAACATCTTTAATTTCTTTCTTTATTTCATTCTTTCTTTCATTATTTCTTTCTTTCTTTCTTTCTTTCTTTCTTTCCTTTTTTCTTTCTTTCTTTCTTTCTTTCATTCTTTCTCCCTTTTAGAGGAGCCATCGCCGGTCTAGTTGTGGGATCTGTCTTTGGTATCGGGATGTCCGTTGGATCAGCTGTTAACCCGGACTCGGACTTGTGGATCTTAAAAGTAAGAAATTAGAAGCTTAAGGGAAAACAGTCCCCTCCCCATTTTTTTTTCGCGAGGCACATGTAGAAAAATAATGCAGGAACCCACAAGACACCCCCCCCCCCCCCAAAAAAAAATATATATATATATATATATATATAGAGGCCTATATATATATATATATTATATATATATAAATAAATAAATAAATAAATAAATAAATAAATAAATAAATAAATAAATAAATAAATAAATATTTAAAAAAATATATAGGCCTCTATAATAGAGTCGCACCGCTTCTGAATCATAGGCTGATCATCCCTTGCTCTCAAAACATTTATTATGCAGGTATCATTCATGTGGTACACCATGATATCCTGTTTCACAACGATCATCGTCGCCGTTCTTGTCAGCGAGGTCGTACGTCTGTTCAGCGACAAGGAGAGGAGTCGTCAGGTTGACCCGCTACTGTTGGCGACATTTCTCCGGTGAGTACATGTACATAAACGGTATGTGATATAAACGTGCATAGTGCCTTCTTGTGCCAGTATTTGGTGACCCAAAGATTCGTCTTTGAATCCAATTAGATTTTTCAACACGACGGTGTGCAGGCGCGGATCTAGGGGGGGGGGGGGCGAGCGGGCCTTGCCTCCCAGCTGTTAGCTCCCCTCCCCCCCCCCCCCCCCCCATCAAAAAATAAGAGACAAGGAAGGAAAGAGAAAGAAAAAGGAAAAGAGGAGACAAGGGGAAGGAAAAGAGAGGAAGAAGAAAAGAAAAGAAGGGGATATCAGTTACAATTTTCTCGCCAACAAATTGTGGATCGGGGGGGGGGGGGGTCCTTGCCTCCCCCAAGCAAACCTAAGACAGAGAGAAGGAAGGGAAATGAAAGGAAAAGAGGAGAGAAGGGGAAAGAAAAAAGAGAAAGAAGAAAGGTAGGGGAGATCAGTTACGATTTTCCCCGCCAACAAGGTTTAGATTGAGGGGGAGGGGGGGGGGGGGGGGGGGGGGGGGGGGGGGGGGGGAGGGGGGGGGGGTGACAGATGCCCCCAAATATAATTCAAACGTGGTTTATTTCTAATTCGATACTGGTGATTCACAAATGTCGCTGAAATTAGATCATTTTCTGAGATTTTTCCTCAATGTTTTAGTAAATTATACTTTTTTTATGCGTTTGATGGAAAATGGCAAATTCGTAATAAAAGAAAGAATAGTGACCTGCCTTTGTCACAAAATAATAAGGTGTCAAAATTTGCTCATCTGACCGTGATTAAATGCCTAAAACCCCTGAACTTCCGGGGGCTCTGCCCCCTGGATTCCACCTAGGGCGGCAACTGGATGCTCATCTGACGGTAATTTAATGTATAAAACCCTTGAGCTTCTGGGGCTCCGCCCTTGGATCCCACACCAATTTGTGTCCTGCCAGTGTCACAAATAAGGTATCAACATATGCTCATATAACCCTAATTAAATGCCTATACCCCCTGAGCTTCTGGGGTCCCCACCCCTGGACCCTCGCAGGGGCTTCGCCCCTAGACCCCACGCCAATTTACGCAACGCTCTATACCTGATCGTTAATACCCCCCCCCCCAACTACTTAGAAAAACGTTCAGCGGGGCCTGTATGTAAGAGTGGGTTATTTAAAATTTTATTTAAATATTCAGAATCCGAATTGCATATTTATTACGTGTTTTTACACAAGACAAACCATCATATTTTACTTACCTAGCAACTATTAGTGTATGCAATTCACAAACTAAGTATTGAAATGCAATCATTCGTAGCAAGTGTGTAACAAGTGATTGAGGTAAGATGTAACGAGTCATGGAACAAAGATTTGTGCATTAAATTTGATTGCATTACGATTGTCTATTCTTTCCTAGTTCTTACTCTTTATCAATTTGGTCACCCACCAACCGACTATAATAATACGAGTTATTGCTGTTCTGTACCGTTACAGAGATGGCGCTATACACCATTTTTTTTTTTAAATGACAGCGAATGTCACCGATTTCTGATAGATGGCGCTAGTCTGTTTCTCATTACGAACAGGACAGTGCTCCTAAATGCTGTTTATGCTAGTTTCCGTTATTTCCTTCTGCGTTCTGTGTAAAGAAGGCAGGATTGAGAGCGCAATTATTTTCTTGTAAGAGTTTATGCCTTCTTATAAATTTAGGCTATATGTTTGTGTTCTGTTGGGGCTACTTCTCAATGATTCTAAATCACTATTATAATTTTTGTTTAAGCTAACGAAAATCTGACTTTCTTTATAGAATCATCCCCCTTTTCACCGTCTCTATCTGACCTTACGTTTCTAACTCTCTCTTTCTTTTCTCACCTTCTCTTCTTTCGTAATCCCCTCTCTTTCTTATCTCACCTTCACTTTTTTCCCCTCTCATTCTCCTCTTCTATGTCCACTTTCGCTTCTTTCAGTAATGTATATTGCCCCCCCCCCCCCCCCCCCTCCTCGCCTTTCACTATATCGTCTTTCTCCCTTTTTTCCATCTTCCCTCTTCTCCCTTTCTCTCTCATCACAACTTTATGTTTACATTTCTCTCTCTCTCTCTCATCCCCTCTCTTTTTCTCTTTATTGTATAAGTTGTGATTTCGGTATGAATAATGACAAATACACAAACAAGATCACAAATACAATGAAAATCTAAATCATAATTAGCGTCCAGTATACACCAGTATAATTTGAGAACAGAAAACAGACTTAATTTATCTTTCATGAAAATGATATCACAAAATAGTACCATAATAATAAAATACAGTGGAAGAGTTATTAAAATTTCAACTTCATTTATAAAGTGCCTTTTCATAAAATACAAAGCGCATAAAAAGAAAATAATTACAAACAAAGCAAGAGAACATTATTATACAAAGCATAAATTGATAAAGAACAAATGAATATTTACAGAAATTGGAAAAGATGTGTTTGAAGACACGCATTGCAAGACAGGGGGTTAGGCATTCAGGGTTTTGGGGCAATAACTTAAAAAGCCCTATCACCTATTTGTTTACTGGGTCTGGTACTGGTCCTGGAGGGCAAGTGTATTACTAGTGACAGAGCGTTTAGTTTAAGTTTAATGAGACCAGGGAGTATCATGTCAATCAGACATAACACCATCAGATACACTACCATCAGGACTGGAATAACCCCATTCACCTTGCTCACTTGCACTTGACTCACAGTCACTAGGAGATAGATAAAGTTCTGAGTCTGAATATTCAACTTCCCCTGTAAGAAGAACAGACAGATGTCTTGGTACTATGCCCTCATGCGGGATCTTGCAGCGAAGGATTGTTCTTGCTGCTATTTCTTGAAGAGGTAACGTTGTTCTTGGTGGGGACAGCAGGGTCATTAGCTCTTCATTTTCTGGTGCATCTGGATCAAATTCATAACGTCTACTGTTACAGATATTCTCTTTCACTGTCAAACCATCAGCATCTCGTGCTTCAATATCACACCCATTGCGGATAAGGATCAGAGCAATTTCCTTTGTGAACTGATGTCTGGCATGGCCATCAAGACAGAGTAACGAATGCAACATTGAGTTCCCGTTAGAGTCAATTTGAGTTGCATCTTCACATCGCATCATCCTTAAGATCAAACGCCTCATACGATTCTCTTTCAGTTGCCTTCGACGGTACTCATCCTTTTTTACCCTATCTTCGGAAAACCCCCAATACAATTCCTTAACGCGTTCCAAGATACGGTGAGAGATTGATACACAAGATTTTTCACCAATTTGCATTCTTATAACTCTTACCATTCCTTCACCAAACTGAAGCAGTGGTTCAAACATTTTCTTAGACTTGGCAGAGTCAAAAACTAGAGCAAAATCGAACAATAAATCGCCAACTTCATCCACCAATTTAACGTCGAGTTTAAGGTCCTGGGAGTCTTTACTAAACACCTGCAGACAAAGGTCTAGCAACTTGTAACACTCATCAACTTCTTCATCTTCAAGTTCTCCTCCGTAACGGATACCTGTCATTAGGTAGACAAGGACTGATCCAAGCTCAAGTTTTGATTCCAGCTCCAACTGTATTGATTCTCTACAGATCTGAGAGCATTGTGACAGTGTTTCCTGGTTCCTTCCCTTGTGAAACATCACGCCATCAAGCCCATGCTCGAAAACTCTTCGAAAGATGTAGCTATCTTTTATTTCTTCTGGGAGCACTCTTTCTGCAACCAAGAAGCACTGGTTCTTTAAAGACCACTGATCTGACTTGATGTTTTCCCAGTCTTCTTGAGTCTTACATTCCTTTGTTTCAGAGAAAAGAGAGAAAGAAGCAGCTACTTCAGACTTTCCATGATTCCCATAGGGTTTAATACTATTTTCCTTGTGAATAGACAGAGCTCTGCAGAAATGTGTACATGGGTGCTCCTCACCTCTGCAAGTGGGTGCGTTGAGGTTAGCATTAAGGCCCACTGCCACTCCAAGAATTTCATAAACTCTTGCCTTTTCTGCATTGGACAATCGCAATTCATGGGTTTTTCCCTGCACAAAAAATTCAACGATGTCTTGGAAATTGTAAATTGCTGCCATGCAAGGAGGATCGAGTCCATTTAAGTTACAGGTCAGTGTTGCGCCATGATTGATGAGAAGTCCAAGGATCTCCTTTCTTGACTGCATGTCCCAGCCCTGACGGGAATAAAAATAATCTAATGGTGGAAGTTTCGTACAGTTGTTGCCAATGGAAGCAAAGTGCATTGGTGTGTTTCCATCTTTGGAGCCTTTTGCATTGGGGTCAGCTCCATGATCAAGGAGGAACTGGACCATTTTCTTCTTATTTTTACCACAAGCGATCATCAGAGGCGACCAACCACGTTCGTCTCTAGCATCCAGATCAACATTTTGGGACGCAAATATTCCTTTCATGTCATTAAGACTCACTGGATTAGGCAATTCCATTCTTGAAGCCAAGTTGAATGGTTGCTGGTCCTGGTTGACTGATGCCATTTTCCGTCAAAAGTTTCACTCGACAGCAAATCTACAATGGAAAACAATAACAGACCAAAAAACACAATATAATTGATTACCGTACAGACATTTACTAGATTTTTTGTTCTACATTTACCATGTAAGAAGTGGTAGTCCTGAATAGTACTAGTAAACCTGATAAGAGCAGTTTAAATCTGATTTACAAGTTCTCTCCAGGGCTTAATCACCCATACATGACAGAATACATTTCATTCTAAATCTTTGCAGGTCTACTTCTCTCTATAAACAAATTCAGGTAGTCCTTAATTATGTTAATAGGATGAAACAAAGAATACTTCTCCCTTCCTCTCTCTTTACTCATCTATCATCTTTCAAATCCAATTCTCTTTCAAGTTTTGAAGACTATCTATCTTCGCACAATATGCAAAGTCAACCATGTCAACCATTACCTTTTCAAGGATCATTATGATTACAGATACCAGTAGTTGTAGATTTACAAATTTATATTCATCAATTTATATTCATCAATTTATATTTAGAATTTTTTTTTTTAGTTATAA